ACGTGGTGAATATTGTACATTTTTAGTGCTCAAATGTGCGAAATAAAAATACGTAATATTTTAACGGGTTCCTTTGTAGGAAAATTAAACCGTTTTTATCGATTATAATTTATTAACAATCGATTAAAATTAAAAACGTGTACAAACATATTTTGTAGAAGAGTGATTGCCATACGAGTGCTTACAGTTTTTCAAAAATATTTTTATTATTTTTCTTAACACAGTTCCCTAATAAAGATGAGTGATCACATCAGTGGCGTGCTTACGGCGGGAGGGGGGGGAGGTCGTGTTCTAACTCAACCCAGGGCCAAAAAAAAGTTATAAAGTGATATTTGAATATAATTATTATTACGCTCTGAGCTAAGAGTAAAAACATAATTTATAGTTGTGACATCGTTATGTTCACTAAAATACGCATGTTTTTATGAATATAAATTGATAATTTATTTATACAACTATTTGCTTATTAAGCTTTTGAGAAAGATGTAAGAATAATAATATTTATAACAAATTAATGTTTGACCGTATGAGTATAAAATTATACCTACGAGTATGTAAAATGATTGTATATCTTACAAAATAAGAGAGACATTTGGGGGGGTTATAACCCGTTAACCCCTCCCTCTCCCCTTCGGACCATTACCTTTAAGTATTTGACTATTGAAGAAAAGAGATTGATTATTGAGAGATGACGTTATTTTTTTAACCCCCTCTCCACCATGTAAAATTAGAATATACACCGCTGGATCACATCAACGATGTTCGGATAAAATTCAAGATACGTTTATGCAGTCATTATTGTAACAATGCTGTAACGCAAACGATTTAAAATCAAAACGCTCATTGATCTTAACTACACTCCGGTGCAATACTACGCATGCACCGCCGTGGAAAGAAGAGAGAGAAGATAATACAGACGTGAACTGAATTCGACAAATAACAGCACGGCCCACCCTCACGTTGAACGATTTTCTAAACGTGAGTATACGTGATATGAATTTAACAATGTAATAATTCGTTTTCCTCTGATGACTATATACAGGCGCACGCATAAATATCGATGCCAGAGCAAACACAATATTCGTTTGCGCATTATTATTGGGAACAACGCATACGTTAAAAATACGATAATTACAATATCATATAGGTTGGTACGTACGGGGTCGCGACCGTCGGGTATAAACCTGTTCGTTACTTAATTAATTATAATATCTATACCGCACGGGAACGCACGGGACTGTTGTAATATCATTCGAAATATTATTAATAACCGTGCGGCGGCTGAAAATAATTTATATGAGCTCGCGTACACACTTTTATTTTAACAATGAAAAAACTGTATTTATTACACTGTAATCGAACAACTGACATACACACACACATATGCACACGCACACCACGCACACTTTATTGTCTCGTTTGAAAAAGTGAAGTAGTGCGCGTAGGCGGTCGCATCTTCTATTCGTTTTGATATGTATTAGTACATACCTTAAAATCAGTGGGTCTATAGAAATCGAAGAAGCTGATCAGTAACTGTATGCACAAATAATGAATAAAATTATTGGTTTTTTTTTTTTTTTTTAAAAAACCGTTCAAATCGATTGATTTTCATTCGATACCTGTACAATCGCTAACGAGAAATGTTTGCAATCACAGACCGTACGTACACAATGTTTATAGCCAAAATACAACGTTTTTGGATGTGATTCAATAATCAATAGCATAGGTTAATTATTATTTTCTTTACAGTATAGTCTTCATGTAAAGGTCTTAGAATTCTGATACCACCTAAGTTCTTTTATTTTTAAACGAATGGAACTATATGACGGTTAAATTCTGAATGTGGACACCCGTAATTATATATTAATATAATAATAAATAATAATATAAATATAATACATATATAATATAATTATATATTTTTATATTATTATTTCGTGTACTTTTAAGTTGCCTGTCGTTAAATAATATTTACGTCAATCAAAATGGTCTATGTATAATTGGTCAAAAAAAAAAAAAAAAAAAATTAGTGCCTACCGAAAAGCATCATATAATTATAATTTTATCCAATAAAACCCCTTTAAGCATCAAACCACAAAAATGTAACACACACAATTTAACTAAATAATATTAAAATATAAAAGATAAATAATTCAAATTTAAAACAGATTTTTATTTTACGTTTAAATAATTAGAGGGTGCTTAAATTTTAATACTTAATTTAAAATTAAAATACACATTAAGAAAAAAATGTATGGAATATTTAAAAAGCGATTTTTAATCACTATTTTGCGTATTGCAGTAAACTGTTTAAACATAAGATACTTGCCAAAACGATTTTTAGTCAACTGTTTGCTTTTGGTTGATGGTAGGGGTTGATCGTCAACCATCGATGGTAAGGACAAGTCCAAATTGTTACTTTTTTAGAAAACACGTGTTTTTGTATAAGAGCTTACATATTTTAATTGATTAGGACAATCGAGTAACATGTCTACCTTTGGTAGTACGTTTGGAACGAATTCGTTGAAAATAATTTAAAATTATTAACAAAAAATAAAATTACAATGATAAAACTGAACTTTATCCTTCAGGAACTTTTTGTATTTCAATTTTATCAGTTGTACAGTTTCGCCGTTTCTCTTTCGTCGACTCTACCCTGCAGCCACCATCAGCATATATATATTATCTTTCATAAGAAAATATTAATATAATATATTTACTTGTTATAGCAGACATCACGCAAATTATGTGTTTCTCGCTTTCCTACTCACAGCTCATCGTTTTCATGTCTGATCTGCTACGTCAGAATGAATGCATTTGTTCAGTGTACCATAATATGAATAATACGATATGAAATATCCATCCAAAAGAGTGCCATAGTTATATTATGTTATATTATGTGGGTAACAATCTCGTTACAATAATATATACAATAATAACCACATGTACAACATTTTTAAGACTTTTTGTTAAACCAAAATTATTTTACCGACATTTTTTTTAAAAAAAAAAAGCTTAGAAAATACGAAAATTTCAATTTTCATTAAAAAATATATATATTTAATCAAATTATAGAAAACAGTATTATAAGCATACAGCGAAAGTTTCATATCTCTAAAATTAATATTTTTTGAGTTACGAGAAAAAACAATAATTTGATTTTATCGTAAATTTTACCGTAATTTTATAAATTTTCGTTAATATTTTGCATTTATTAAGAAAACAGTCAGGAAATTCGTAAAATGACCTCAAAAAATACCAACTAGACTACATTTTCAATCTGAAATTTTATATGGTTGTGATTATCGGAGAAATCCTTCTGGTTGAAATTCTATTCACAGACTCATAAAACAAAACAAATAAAACAACGATCATAGTAAAACCAATTCATTCCTCGTTTCACTTATCTTAAAATACTATGGATGCATCACTGGTGTATATACGAGTATGAAGTATATTGTAAGAATACTTTACTATCAGTCTGACGTTTCACTCAAAATACGAGTATAATTGCATCTATATGACTGTATAGTTATTAATTCTGATGATCCGTTTGCTTGGGGTAGTAATATATTCAGTGGAATATTTACGGGGAGGTTCCCAGGTTTCGAACCCCCTCAGAAAAAAAGATTAAAAATACATAAATAACTTGCTACGTAGGTGTCGAGAAAGAGAATATTAATTAATATTGTGTTTTTATTGTTTTTAATGTTCGTATTACCTACAATTTGTATAAATAACTTGGGTTTAACTTTTGGTTATTTTTGTTGCGTCGTTGCCGTAATATATATATATATATAATTATATTAGTACGCCGTCTATTATAGTCAGTGGCGTATTTAGGAAGGGTTCCCAGGTCTCGAAAAAAATTATCCTCTCGATCACCCCACAGAAAATTTGAAATGTATTACATGTATAGTACTGAACGATCGTTCATTCAACATCCAATCATAGGTAATATTATACATAACACGACAGTTAACTTAATAACACGATTCGACCGATTACTAAAATATATATGGACGCAGACAGAAGTTAAGTAAATATTTTATAGGTGAACTCTATAATATATCCTGAAATGTATTTCATATACATTTGAAGCCGCTTATTAGGAACACTCGGACAAAGTTGGAATGTGTCAATTAACCAATTGTTTCTAATAAACGATTGGTTTTATTTATTATGAAAAATATTATAAAAATATTATCTACTGTTACATTTATCGTTGTCTATTGTTTTGTGTCGAGTAACTTGATAATCATGGTTTCGTAAAAATAATGTTGCTCAAAGCCTTTTTCATCCGCACGGATAATACAGTCGTTAAGTTAACACATATCCGTAATATGAAATATTTTTCAACTACAAAATTATTTCTTATCTTTTCTATTCGTCAAAATTATTTCTTAAAATAAAGAAAATGTAAATTGCTCGCAAGAAATAAAAAATGAATTACAAAAGACAAGAAAATAATGTATGAACGGGAAGAACATTGAATTGAATTACATCAAAACTTTCCAACACATGCATCTTACGAGTTTAATAAATGTATGTTATACACGTGCACCTATAAATCTATTAGTAACATCTGGAACGTTAAAAATCAGCCTATAAATATTTAAAAAACATTGAAATCTGTTCTAATTTTAAAATACACATAGGATAGAGTAATTATTTTTAAGTAGGTATGTCTCATGTATATATATGCGAATCTGAACCTTCAGTCAATTTTAATAAATACTCTTTAACAACCTACGTTTTTAAATATATTCATCATATTTAGATTTTATTCATGACTTTGCTAATGTAAAACAAGCGGCAAAAATAATATAAATGCATTCTATATTCAATACTTATATATTTCACAAGAAAATCAAGTTGAAAAGTATGAGTATTTAATAAATATATATATATATATATTGTATGTATAAAATATAATAAAAATCCCATCGATTGCAACCATTCAAGTATGATTGATGTTTTAAAAAATAAAAAATAAATGTGTCTTGAATTAACAACTATACAAAACACCCACGGAAAGAATTACGCTAATATCTTCATGAAGGTTTCTTTTTTTAATTGTATGCAACAAAATAATAATACGCGTACACTAGCTATACTCATATAATACGATATTTTCATTTAGCAAGCTAATAAATATGTCTGATCAACGAAATGTTGTAAACTCGAGTTTATTTAATTTAACGAGATAAGTTTGCCACTCATTTTTGATAGAAGAAAAAAATCTTAAATTAAATTCAACCACAGAAATATTTTTTATTCGAAAAAGTTTTCAAGCAATGAAAGCATGATGACAACGGTGCAGCTTACAGAAAAAACTATACTTCAACTGTACATAATAAAGACAATATATATATAAAACTAGTGGTGTGGTGAAGGAGGTTTAGAGGAGCGGTCGTTCCTACAAAATTCGGGGTGGGTGAGTATTAGGTTAAAATTAACATGTTATATGTACACAGTATATACTATTAGATAATAGAAGTAATGAAGTAGACATAAAATATAATAATAATAAGCAACAAGATCGTCTAATTAAGGATTAACAAATATATTGTGAACAAGTTTAAAATCAGTTATCAATATATCAATATTATCAATGTGTCTAAATCATAAATTATTTTACTGTTTTTGTGTACTCGTATTATACTACTATAACTATTACATGTTAAAATTCATGGTCTAAACTCTAAAAATATGTTAATTAATAATATACTAAAAATGTACATGAATTCATCATACTGTCAGTTTCTGATTTTTTTCCACCATTTTTGTTTTGTGAATTGTGAGTTTAATACAGATTAAGAATACTAAATAATAAAAAGAGCAGATCTTAAACTGTAGTATATTTTATTATTATTGAATATAATATTAATGCGCATCAATATTTCAAGGAGCGTAGCAAGCACATTTCTTTTTAAATTTCAATAAAATATTGGGTGATGGGTAGACTAAAATCATCGCTCCTTGTGTTAAAATAGCTCTTCTCATCACTGTTTAAAACATATTAAAACTTAATAATAAATTATCAACTAGGTATTCATTACATACAGATATAAAAGAATACTTTTTAACAATTATTGGTTAAGTATATTATTAATAATTCATATATGCAAAATGGTCAATAAGTGTGTAACCATTGATTATATAAAATAAATTAAAGTAAATATATATTAATAATTTACTCGTAGTTGATACTCACCTACATCTTGCTAAAAATCAATGAAAAAACTTAAACCATTTTACCAAACCAAGTACGGATAACTATTATTTCCTACTATTATACTTATTTAACATTTTAAATCACAATTCAATTGCATTTACTAATTACACTTATTATTGTTGATTATTAACTGTGGACTAAGCTCAACAAATTAAATTAGTAACAAATATTATTTATTGTATTCTATTCTTTCCAACTTCCCATGTCTAGTTTAGTTTGCAATATTTCATTGATTTTGAACGTTGTCTGAATCTTAGTAAAGAGTTATAAATTATCTCAATTCAATAATTGATATAAATAATTTTTTTACTTTATAGGCATAGATTTCTTCGTTTTTTATAGCAGATACAATAATTACAGTTACCATAGAAAATATAAACAAATTAAGATAATAATGAATTAACATTTCAATATCTTTAATACTGAATTCTCAAATTAGTTTTCAATGTAAACAATTCAAAAGAGTAGTGATTATTGTCTATATACAACATATTCAAACTAATTAAAATAGAAACCAGATCATGAATTATCAGGTTTGTCTTGTCCATTGTATAAATTATTATTATTTAAAAATTAATGTTTCTTTCAAACCCTTTAAGGATATTGAGATAAGTAAAGCATTTGACTTAATGGACATCAATGGCCATAAGGTAATTAGTAAGAGAGATTTTAAATTTGCTCTGAAGGCATTGGGATTGGAACTACCTCGAGATCAATATATAAGATTGATATCTGGAATAGAAAAAGATCAAAATGGTTTTATAAATAAAGAAATATTCATGAAAGAAGTGTGTAAGCTAATGTCTAGTAGAGATGTTGAGAATGATATGGTAAAAGCTTTCCGGTTGATTGATGAACAAGACACTGGGAAAATTGATTTCAACAGTCTAAAAAATGTGGCAAAAGTGCTTGGAGAAAGAGTATCAGATCAAGAAATTATCGATATGTTAGACGCTGCAGATGAAGACGGAGATGGAAAAGTCAACCTTACAGAGTTTTTGAAGCTTATGAACAGGGCAAGAAAAGTTCTGTAATTCAAGGCTTTTATTATTTGTGTACTATATTAAAATAAATAATCATTATTATGGTCAGTTTTGTCTAAAATAAATAATTAGTAAAATATAATAACAAAATTACTAAAAATAAATTTGATTTTCAGTGTTAATGTATATAAATAATAATAAAAAAAAACAAAAAAACTAAAACAGTGTGCTTAAATGTCTTAACTAAATGTTAGCGGGCAGTCGAATATTATCCATACAGAGCTTTAAGGACACCATCAGTGATTATGTCCGGTAAACACAATCGTTTTTCATGTCTAATCTTGGATGGGATATGTTCACTGATCATGTGAAACACCGGTCGCTGATACTTGATGTCGATTTTATGACTAGACAAATATAAAAGTACAGTTTATTTGTTATAACATAATGACACTGAAAACCAATGTTTCCCAACCAGTTTGCTGCAGCACATGTCGTGAAGCCACCATAGGCGTGCTGCGAAATGAGATTAATGTGCCATGAAAGCGAATGATCGGGAAACGCTGGTGTAAATACCCAAGCTAGTAGTGATTGATCGTGTTTACCTTGGCTGGTATTTCAAACCGAGAAATTCCATAACTTGTTTGTAACCATCTTCGATTTTGAACACCGTCTGCAAATACCTCTCCAGGCCGGCCCTTCTCTGCTCGAGTACTTTAGGCTGCGAACATCGTATGCGCTTGGACGGGAACGGCGGAGTGCACATGGACTTTCTCAGCTACGCACCGAGCACCAACGGCAACAACGAAAACAATAAAAACCGTGTAAAGCAACCGACCGATCAGCGGTGTGGAGTAGAGTGTACCTCTCTGTGAAACGCGTGGAAAGCGCTGTACCGTTTCTCCACCAGCTCCTGGTGGCCGACCGACAGCACTCTAATCGTGTACACGTAATGGGGTTTGACGTCCTGCACCAGCCTGTAATTGGGTACCGTGATCTCGATCATGGTAGCGCGGGACGCATAGTCTCTGGGTGCGATCCGCCGCCGCTGCGACTACTGATCGTCCAACGACGGTGACATTCACACGGGTAACGAACGGACACTGGACGCGGGCGGTCGGGAAACGGACGCGAACAATGTTTTCGATCGTCGATCGGTACGACGACGACGTGAACAACAAAACTAATCAAATGCAATCAAAAAAACAAACGTAAACAAGATTGTCGCAGGTCAGCGCTGGTGGTTCGCATGTTATCGTACTGATAACCTCCGCGAGTCGTCCGATTCGTCCGCGTAATTGTTGTTGTGGCGGAAGCGGTCTCTTACTGTTACCAGCGACGACCGTCGATCGTTGTTCCGCGACCGCTCCCAAGAACTCGGTCCGACCAACCTTGTTCCGTTTGGCGGCGGTTCTTCGAGATAACGTTTTGTGATAATGTTATTGTTCTGCTACGGTGACAACATCACGACTACTGCACGCGATAACGGTCGAACGATCAACGAAACGACAACATCCAACACATACGAAAACGGTATGTCGTTTCCACGTCGTCTCGTCGATCGTTATGGACAGAAATAAAATGATTCGTTCGCTATTGTTACAAAACCATGTTTTACAGAACTCACGTCGGAAGTGACACCTGCCGAACACTCCCGTCGCGTCACCACAAGTTTGCTGTCCTACGTGAGTACAACGCGTTACAACCTAATCGCTGCTAGAGCAGTGCTTAACAGTCTGTCCGCGTGGTTTCGTTAGACATTTTTGGCGGTCAGCTGTTGCTGACAGTGGTTGCTTGCAAAATACATAGGCGCTACTAGAAACATAAATTTCAATGAAAATACAAAGTTCATCAAGTATATGTTTGAGAATAGGAAAATCTGTAGTTACTTGTGTATAAGTACCATTGTATAATTATGAATTAAAGTTACCACCGTTTAAATTGTCATAATCAAACATCTGGTAGTTTTTAAATCCAGCGGGATTGTATTATGAGTTCCTTTTAATCACCAAAAAAATTAAAAAATTATTTGATTTTTATATTTCAGGTAAAATAAGAAAAGTGCTGTGGATCACACATAAGAATACAACTATCAATAATTAGTTTAAAAGTAGAAAAAATGCCTGAAAACTATGGATGTGAACATTGCGAGAAAACATTTTCAAATCGCCGACACTATGAGCTACATGTCAATGGACATCAGCGAAACAGTTGTCATGTCTGTGGTTTACCTTGCAACAGCCGTAAGACATTGGTTACTCATATGTCAACTGCACATGGATCGAAATTAGAACCAATCATGTTAGAATGCAAGTACTGTATGAAAACATTTGTTCAAAAACGTTCATTGCACTTACATTACAAGACCATACACAAAGACACTGGTACTATATGTCTTGATTGTGGACAACCATTTGATAATAGGCTAGAGCTTGCACACCATGTAAAAACAGTCAAGCACAGTGATGGCTTTATATGTCATAAGTGTGGTGAAGTATTCACTCGAAATCAACAATACAAATTGCATTTACAAGTATGAAAAAATCCTTTTATTTTTTTAGGTGCATTAATTACTAAGTCCATTAATTAATTTTATTGTGATCATTTTCAGAAACATGACACTTATAGTTGTTTCAATTGCAATGCCCAGTACGCAAATTCTAAAAAATTAAATAAACATTTAAAACTGTGTGTTTCTTCAACACCTCCAATTGACATTTATTTAAAAAGTAAAGAGGCAACTACTACAGGTAAACTTAGTAATTATTTTTGATAACTTAGTTATATATTTGACACTATCAAACATTAATATGTTTTTTATTTTAATTATGATGTATATTATCATATTTAATTAAATTTTTTGAAATTATATTAAATATTTATAGATTGTAATAACACTTATAGTTATTAATTTGGAATTAATTTTTGTAGTTTTATTCAAACATAATGAGTTCAATTCAAATATTCAAATTTAATATTGCATAAATAGTTTTAAACAACTATGGTTTCATTATAAATTTACTGAATTTTTATAGATTCTTTATTCTCTAATACAAATTTAATAGATTTTTCACATCTGCTATATAGTATGATTTAATTAAACATAAATATTCATCTGAAAATACAACTTAATAATGATTTCAGTTATTCTATAAAATTGTAAGTATTAAAATTTTCTAATATTTATTAATCGATTTAAGTAGTGTGTTCAATTAACATTCTAATTTGTTGTGATCATTTTCAGGTATTGTTTATAAATGCATTGAGTGCAAAAAAACATTTGAGAAGAAAAAATACTTCAAACGACACATGAAAACAGTTGTTCATTCAGCCAACAAAGTCAGCAATCCATTATATTGTGCTCATTGTCCAAAGATATTTTATTATAAATTTAATTTGTCATCGCATATGAAACAAATACATTTTAAACAATACAATAATTATATTTGTAATTTGTGTGGAAAGAGTTTTCAGTATAGAAACAATTATAAAAGACACAAAGATTCTCATATGCAAGTTAGAGATTATGTTTGTGAACACTGTGGTGCTTGTTTTTATCGTAAATATGCTTTACAAGATCATCAAATTGCCATTCATAGTGAAGAAAAGAATTTTGTCTGCAACGAGTGTGGTAATAATTTTAAATTAAAATCTATATTAACAAGGCATATGAAAAACCATTTGGAAACCAAAAAATATGTTTGTCACTGTAAACGGGTATTTAAATTTGCATCAAATTTACGACGTCATCAAGTCAATATCCATAATCAAGTATACAGTGAGTCTATTAAAATCAAACGTTTTGTAGAAGACGATAGTCGTTCATCACCTTTAGCTGTCATAAACGAAGAAAAGAAAAGATTGAAACAAAAAAATATTAGTCAACTTGGTCTGGAAGATACGGTTTCATATTCTATGATGGCGTATTCTGATAATTTAGATTTGAGTAGTGCTGACGTAGCAGAAAGTGTACTTCAAGTAGCTTCAGCATCAAGTTACAAGATAGAATGCGAAGAAAATTCATGTTTTCCTGGGATTCATCCTCCAATTGAAACATCTCTTGTCTGCAGCTTAAATGATGGTGTTGATCTGTCTCCTAATTCTTCACAGCAATATTTATCCGATTATGTTGTTCCCCACCAGTTTCCATTTCTTAACATTTAAAGTAATTTTTAATGCTGCATCTTAGAAAATAATTGATTGTACTACATTTATATTATACTAAAATATTATTTGCACAATCATAAAATTATATAGAATAAAACTATAAATGAGAAATAATAATAAAAAAATTAGTAAATTTTATAAATTTGATCAATGAATAGTAAATTTGTTTAGACAAAAGTTTTAAACTTATTTTATTTTATAAAGTTAATTTAGTTAAAAAGAAAACAAAAAAAAATATCAAAATATATTGGGTTTTTTTTTTACCTTTTAATGTGATTATTATTTTATCTCGAATTGTATGATCTATACTCCGTTTCAAAAGAGAACATATCTTACATCGTCTTTTTTAAAATATTTTAATACTTTTGGATGTACATTATGGATCAACTTGAACAACAGAATTATTTTACTTATTATAAGCAATCAATTGAAATTTATCAGACAATTTTTATCAGTGACCGTCGCAATGCGCTTTCTTTTAAAACGGAGTGTAGTTAAAACATATAATTGTTTTAAGAAAAAATTTTTTAAATTCTAAATAATTTTTTTCTTTTAAGTAATTCATTTCTGTTGTATAAAACCTATGCAGATAATATTTATTATGATGTATGCGAATAACCATAATTTAACAATTGTGTATTCTACAAATTACAATAATTAAACAATTATTGTAGTATAAGAATATAAAATATATTTGTCAAATAGAAATTTTTATTTCATTCAATTGAAAAGTGTTTTTAAGACTTCGTGACCATATTAAAAAATAAATGAAATTTTTATATATATAGTAAATGTTGTTTAATAAAGGTTCAACTGTTATTTTTAACTTAAATTCTTAATATTATATATTTACATATCTACCCATTCATTTTATATGATTTTCATATAATATGGAATAAGAACTTGATTGATATTATAAAATTTATGAATTTGGCTAAAATTATTGTATTTATTAATGGGTTGTAAGAAAAATAAAGGGTACGCTCATATACGTGCGCAATGGGAGTGCTGGATTTATTGTACCTGGATATTCCTTTAAATGTTGTAAATGGCGCCCTACAATTCAAGTCTAGGAGGAAGGAGTCCGTATTTCAACTGATGTTTCTTAGATAAAATGTAATTTATTCTAAAATATTTGGTAAAAAAATATAGAAAATTAAATTACATTTTCTAACTTTTTTTGCAAAAACTTATTACGATAATATGACAGTTAAAATTGACTACAAAAGTAAAATTCATAAATAATTGAAGCTATCCGAGAAAAATATACGAAATTTAAAGAAAACATGTTTATTGGGATTAATATACCATAATATTGAATAAGAAATTAAAATTACGTTTATTTAATTATTTATTAAATATACCAATGGGCGTAACTAAAGTCCACATTTTGGAGTAGCAAAGTTTATGTTTAGAAAGTTGAAAAATAAATTTTTAAAGGTTTAACATGATAACTGTGCTACTTAAATGACTAACTCTTCTTCATAAATCTTGGTATGACTTATAGTGTTATATTGTCCGTATTGGACTTTCAAAAAATATAAAAAATTTTAGATACAATCACAATAATAGATGGTCTATATTTAGTAATATATATACTAAATTTAGTTACTTATTTTATATTTAGTTCATACAAACTTGAATGATAAACTTGAAAAATGTTTTTAAAATCTATCATTTTTTTGGGGGTAGCAAAAAGATACCCTTGCTACCCCACAAACATTTCTGGGGTAACAAAGATACCCCTCGGTACCCCTTAGTGACGCCTATGAATATACCTACATGTTCTATTAATATTGGGTCCAAAAGTATTGTAAGAACCCTCTGAAACATAAGTATGCGCAAGTCTATGACTACTATTATTATTATTTTTTTTCTTTTTCTTAAAATTTGCAATCGTTATAAACTACATATTTAAATAATTTATGAAAGTTTTATTTTATCAAAACGAGGACATACTTACTTAAATGGTGAATTGGGCCAAATACTTTATAATTATGATTATATATTATTAAATACTTAATGATATATTTCATCTATTACACATTATTTCCGTTGTAAATATGTTCAAATTGTTTTTATGGCCAAATAAATTGTTATTAATACTATAAGATTTCAAACAATTTGATTTAAAATGTTAAATAAAAATTAAATAACAAACTTATCAACTGTATTATGAATGATTTCTACAGTATACATATATATTTTTTTTTTTTTGGTTAAATATAATACTTAATCTTCTATACCTACTATAATAGAAAGTCCCGCTTTTTTTGTTACGTATACAAATCCATACTGTTTAACGTATAGTCACCAAATTTTTTACTGTTATACCTGACAGTCTGCTGAAGTTTTTTGTACCACTTTTGTTAGTAAAAAATAAGTACAAACAATGGTGCATTTAATATATACGCGCCCCGGGGCAAAATAATTTTTCCACCCTTTCCCCTTATCAAAAAAAAAAAATAATATATATAAATAAATTCAAAGTTAAACAATAAAAAAGTTAATTTTATGAAACAAATTATAAATCAGTTGTTTTACGATATTGTATTAGATAATTGTATAGTAATACCTAATGTTAACCTAATTTTTTTTTTCAAAATGAATATTCCTTTCTTAAAATATATATATTAAATATAAAAAATGGAATTAACACTTATTATATGCACAATGATTAACAATACATGGTTTTTTATTAGATTAAATATATTATATTTATTATTAATTATATATAATAAAATAATTGATAGCTTACACTTTTTTTCTTGACTTTTGAGAAGAAAAATGTTAAATAACTTCATTAAAATTAATAATTTTCGTTAAATCAGCTTCAATGTTGAGGTTTGTTAATTAATTAAGACGATTTTCTCCCGTTTTTTATCTTAAATAAGTTTTGACACTTTTTAATGTAGAAAATGATTTATCTGTTGAACAATTACTTGAAGGTGTACATACATAGTAGCATCCTTAGAGGAATATCAATATAAGGATACACTTCAACTAAACTATTCTCTTTTATAAATGCTAACATACATTGAACACTTTTAGGTACAATTTTACTCCTTTTGTAAACTTTTTAAATGTGCCCTAAAGTGAATACCGCGTTCTGTGTACCCGAGTCTTTATTATAAACATTGAACAAAAATATAATATTGAATAATAAATGTAATATACCTATTTTGCTATTTCACTATTACCTAGGTGACTAGGTATAGTACCTATAATTTTTTTAATTTCTTATTAAATGCTCAACAGTATTTTTTTAAAATACGAAACAATACCGAAAAAGGTCTGAAAATTAAAAAAATCATGAACACATCAATAATAAAAGTTAGAATATTTAGCCGCTCCAAAAAATTTGTCGTCCGGGGCATTTGCCCCTTTCGCCCTCCTTAAATGCGCCACTGAGTACAAAGTTTTTGGAAAATTAAAAAAACAAAATTAATTTTTGGCGGCAGCCTAGAGGTTTCCAGTTACATGCAACCTGATATTTTTTCTATTGTGTGTGTTTTGTAAGCGTGTAAATATGAATTCTTTTGGAGAAGTAAAATTCGTCAAATCTTATTGCTATTTATTACAATTATTGTCACAATAACATAACATTGGAAATAATACCTACTTCTTACCTAACACCCAGCAGTAGTATAGATTCGATATTTGAACATTCTGTGTCATTTTTATCGATTTTCCTACACTCCATACAAACTTCGAAGTATTTTTGGGGTATTACTTTGAATTATTTACTTTAAGTAAGTAAATACCTATTTTTAAGAAGTCGGTTTTGGCGAAGACGAGGTTTTTAAGGCAAGGCAAAGACGGTCTGAGCCCAAATCAACGATTGCTTATAATTGCGAACAATTTTTATTATCGTTATTTTTGACATTCCATATACTTGGACCAATTTCAAAATTAAGAAAAAATGAATAAAATTTGAAATTTTGAATTATTTACGTGTATAATTATAATAAATATATAATATATTATTATAAAAATTATAGTACTTAAATAATAATTGTCTAAATAATGTAGGTTAAATTTTATAATTTTTCCAACATTTTGGGTTTAAAAAAATTAGTCAATATGACAATAACTAACATTAAATCCAGGATTTCTAAGTTGAACAACATTTAATTAATTAACACTAAGTTTTATTTACTGTAGTCAAAACTGTCTTTAACATCGATTAGTTTTTATTTTAAACAATTCATTTTTACATATGCACAACAATTTTTTTTAACGCAACGCCAACTTATATTTCTCGAAACTAAATTTCTACTAAAGTGGAATTTAAAGTTACGAAAAATTAAACACTCACGATTTTTAGTAGTATTTATTATATTAAAATCTATTTTTATACACTCGCAACTCACGTATGATACTCAAGTTAAAAATATGTAGTTTGAGTAAAGTTGCACTATGCATATACAGAGAGAAGTGAGAGCCGTCATGAAGTTATTGTCATCTTTATCGAATAGTATGGTATTCAGTGCTTTACTTAAGGGGGAACGCAGGGGTACGGAGTACCCCAAATAATTTTCGGACATTTTAGCGTCCTCCTACTATCATTACGTTATAATTATAACGCTTAACAAGTTTTAGGGATGCTCTATTTTTTAAAATTATTCAGAGTCCCCCATCTTTAATTTTACCAAGTCAAGCACCGATGGTATGGTAGGTATTTCTGATGGCAGGGATCCGGGTTGTATGACATAAGTTACAACAATTATAATAATAATAATTCAAACCCATTACACAAATGGTATCCCGGTGCGTGCGAGTCGAACATAGTTTATGACCGGACAGCGTATGTTAATGAAAAAATATTAAAAATGTTAAAATCATTATATAATATAAATAAAAATTAATGGAAAAGAAACAAAAAACAAAACTATAAAAAACGTTTTTAACCATATCTGTGGTTTAAATAAATCATAGACAGTCCTAAGTCTGTTAAAATGGGAAGGAAAATATTAATATAATATAGTACTTACCAAAAAATATGCAGAAACTAGTGTATACCTAAAATAATTCAGAACCCAACTGATGTAGTAATTTTAAATTCGGGACCCAATTTGGATGCAGCTATTTTGATTCGTCGGTCCAACAGAAAAAACGTAAAAAATCGGTTTCTTCATGTAATTGAACCATTAACCATGCAATAAATTTAATTCGACGATTAGAATCATCTGATAACATTTGTTATGCTAAATCAGTCATTTCAGGTATAATTTTTTTTTTTTTATCATTTTATTTCATGAACTTTTTTCTAAGAAATTTCAATTTCGATACTTAAATATAAGCTATTACCTGAAAATGCGTCCTGTTCGTTTGCCTCTCCAATTAATTGTTTTTGATTTTGTCGATTATTATCCAGAAACGTATTTAAGCAACTTCTTTTGGAAATTAAGGGGTTTTCTGTAACCATTTTTATCCGTCAATCAAAATGTTTATTATTTTAAGATTTTACATAGGGACTGCACTGCGATTTTTATTTTCGTGATAATATTATCAAAAGTTGACCGCGTAAAATCCATAGATAATAAATATTATCTTTCTAGAAAAATCATTTATAACGTGTGTATGGGTGGCAATACAATTTTACCTGGGGCGTCAAAACTCTAAATACGTCTCTGTCATTATTTTGTCTTGCATTTAGTTTACTACTATTTCTCAAAGACTATTCAATTCGGACAAATTAATTGTAAGGATACGTTGTGTATAAATTCTAGCGGCATTACGTAAATTATACTGACATTCACCATAAACCAAAAGCATATCAACCTTTTCATTGTTACTTGGCATTTTTAAATTTCAATGAAATACGTGCGTTACATACGAGTTTAAAACTTGGAATGACTTTCAATAATCACATTTTAACAAATGCTTATCAGTTACATATGCAGTGGCTGATTCAAGGGGGGGTAATAGGGTAAATACCCCCTCTTGAGGTTATCCTAGAAAATTACCAGTGACAGTGTCAACGGCAGAGACGTTTTTTATCCTGAAAAGGTTAAAAATGTGATTGAGAATTATAATGAAGAGAGATTAGTTGAATTAGCTTTGCTGAATGCACATAATGATGTTGAAATTACGCCTGTGAAGTTATTGACCGGTTTGTCAAGAGTAAAAATAGAAAGTTAGACTTAATTCTTTATATTTTATTTTTATTATTATCTTATTGAAATATTCTATTGTGTACAATGTAAATGTATGTTACCTTATTAAATTTTTAATTCTAAATGTGTATTTTAATTATTTTGAATTTTTTTTATTTTTGGTGTACCATATCTATAAAATTTGTGTTTTTAAGTATATAATTGTTGTCATTGATATCAGTTTTAAAAAATAATATTAAAAGTATGTTATTAAGTATGAATAGTATCTGTTGGATAAATTTTAATTACCCCCCTCGATAAATTTCTGGATCCGCCCCTGTTCATATGTAGATTAAATATACATAATTATGATAAAATAATAATAAATATATATATATATATATATATATGTATTTAATAATTTCTGCAATCGATACTATCGTTGTCATTTAGTCAATTTTAATTTTAGAGCTATGGTAGAAAAAGGACCAAATTGACTTAAGAAATGTTCTATCAAAATCTGTTATTATAAATAGGTGTTGCTATTTAAAAAATACATATTGTTGCGCATGCGTACAATAAAAGGGATATCAATTTGAAACTCTCGAAAAATGTGTATTTAGGCATTACCTATCTTCCCCCAAAAATAGTAGGTATATCAATCTGATGCTATTGGATAAAATTATTTAGTGTCATCTTTAAAAGGAATCACAATGCGTATACTATTATTATTAACCGGATGATTATCATATTTTATATTTTATTTGTACAATCACATAAATCAATTACCATTGGCGCTAAGTTGGAATTATGAAGAGGGGGACTAAAATATTCAATACCCAATTATGAAAAGAAAAACGGGTCGTTGCGCTCGTAACAGTAGTATTCGTGATAATTACGTAGTATAAGTTTAATGCTTCATTGTCTGAAAACTAACCATCAATTGTCCATGACTACCCAACCATCTACCCAATTAAGGGGGACAATTGTTTCTTCTGTTCTCCTACATTTGCACCTTTGTCCATTATTAAGTACTATATTTTTTACAGAAATTAATGAAATAAAAATGCAAAAATCTTATATATTGTTAAACATATCAGAGACATTTTATAAACTACTTTATTTATTAGTTACTAGAATAAAAATCAGATCTATGGGACACCATTTAAATTGTAGGATTTAATCAGTTTATTTAGAAATAAAATCTTAGAAATCTTATATAATAATTTGGATATTATAGTTATAATTCAAACTTTCAATATTTTACATAAAATATATGCATCATATACCTATTTCTCATAAATCTGTTATTAAAAATTGCTAATGATACTACCAATTATATTAGAGTGATAACAGCTTGTAATACATCAAAACATTTGTAAAAGTAGTATTGTTTCATTTAATTCATAATACAAACACTTCTATGAAACTTTAATATCAAATAACAAATAACTATAAGAAAAAAAATATCTGTAAAAAAAAATTTGTATTTTATATTTATAACAAAAATGTTTATTTAATGTGATTGATAAAATGATCAAGATTATTATTTGAATTGAGGAATGTGCAGCATATTATAATAATTTACTTAATTAATCGACTTCTTCAATAGTTGGACCAGCTCCAGCTCCAGCACCAGCTGCACCAGAACCAGGATCACCACCAGGGAATCCTGGCATACCACCAGGCATACCACCAGGCATGCCACCAGGCATACCAGCACCACCAGCTCCAGCATACAATTTGGTGATGATTGGGTTGCAAATTGCTTCCAATTCCTTTTGTTTATGTTCATATTCATCTTTGTCAGCTAATTGATTAGCATCCAACCATTTAATAGTATCATTAACTTTATCCAAAATGGTGGTCTTATCAGTTTCAGGAATTTTATCTTTTATTTTTTCATCTTCCATTGTACTCTTCATGTTGAAGCAGTAGGATTCCAAACCATTTTTAGCAGCTATGATACTTTTCTGTTTTTCATCTTCATTTTTGTATTTTTCAGCATCGTTCACCATGCGCTCTATGTCTTCCTTACTCAAACGTCCTTTGTCATTAGTGATAGTAATCTTGTTTTCTTTGTTGGTAGACTTTTCAACAGCACTAACATTTAATATACCATTTGCATCAATATCAAAAGTCACCTCAATCTGTGGCACTCCACGTGGTGCAGGTGGAATGGCTGTCAGCTCAAATTTTCCCAACAAATTGTTATCTTTTGTCATAGCACGTTCTCCTTCAAACACTTGTATCAATACACCAGGTTGGTTGTCAGAGTAAGTCGTGAAAGTCTGAGTTTGTTTAGTTGGGATTGTTGTGTTTCGTTTGATGAGAGCAGTCATCACACCACCAGCAGTTTCAATACCTAATGAAAGAGGGGTGACATCAAGCAACAAAAGGTCTTGAACTTCTTCAGACTTGTCTCCATGTAAAATAGCTGCTTGTACTGCAGCACCATAAGCAACAGCCTCATCAGGATTGATTGACTTATTCAGTTCTTTACCATTGAAGAAATCTTGCAATAATTTTTGTACTTTGGGAATACGAGTAGAACCACCGACCAATACAATGTCGTTAATGGCAGACTTGTCGATCTTGGCATCACGTAGAGATTTCTCAACTGGTTCCATAGTACTACGGAAAAGATCAGCATTCAATTCTTCGAAACGAGCACGAGTGATGGAAGTGTAGAAATCAATTCCTTCAAATAAGGAATCAATTTCAATGCTGGCTTGGGTGGATGAAGAAAGGGTACGCTTTGCACGTTCACAAGCAGTTCTCAGACGTCTTAAAGCTCTCTTGTTGGTAGTTACATCTTTCTTATACTTGCGTTTGAATTCTTGAACAAAGTGATTGACCATTCTGTTATCAAAATCTTCACCTCCCAAATGAGTATCTCCAGCAGTTGACTTCACTTCAAATATTCCATCCTCAATGGTTAATATAGATACATCAAAAGTACCACCACCTAAATCAAAAATGAGAACGTTACGTTCTCCAGATGTTTTCTTGTCTAGACCATATGCAATGGCAGCAGCTGTAGGTTCATTGATGATACGCATAACATTCAAACCAGAGATGGTACCAGAATCCTTGGTAGCCTGACGTTGGGAATCATTGAAATAAGCAGGTACAGTAATAACAGCATTTGTAACAGTTTTTCCCAGATACGCTTCAGCAGTTTCCTTCATCTTGGTTAAAACCATAGATGATACCTATATATAAACGTTATTAGTGTTAAATTATTTTTATATTTTTATTTCAAGTACAAGAAAATTAATGTTAATTGTATGTTAAATAATATAAATACCTCTTCAGGTGAGAAAATTTTGTTCTCTCCTTTGTAGGAGATTTTGATCTTAGGTTTACCATCTTCACTAATTACTTCAAAAGGCCAATGTTTCATATCAGCTTGTACCGTGGCATCATCAAAACGTCTTCCAATCAAACGCTTGGCATCTAAAAAAATAAAATAATGTATTTTTAATTTATAATAATAAATAAAAGAAAAAAAAATTACCAAAAATTGTGTTATTGGGATTCATAGCAACTTGATTTTTAGCAGCGTCACCAATAAGACGTTCAGTATCGGTGAAACCAACATAGCTGGGAGTAGTACGGTTTCCTTGGTCATTGGCAATGATCTCTACTTTGCCGTGTTGAAAAACACCTACACATGAGTAGGTTGTACCCAAATCAATACCAACAGCTGGTGTCTTTGCCATTTTTGTTTATATCGATTGTATAGTAAATAAAATAATAGGAACTGATTTCTTGTTAAACTCTGTAAATAATAAAATGTATTAAGTAAAATAGTTTTAAAATGTTATTTATCACATTCATAGTAAATTATCAAAGATATATATTTAATTAGTCTCAGAGAGATAAGAATGTACTATTTTTACAAATATTAAACACCCAATAGGTTAATAAATAATTTATAATAAACATAATATTTGCTAAAAAAAATATAAAATTTGGTTTTAATCAGATTTTAATGAATATAATAATGAAATATTTTGTACAAACAAAAATAAATTTAAAGGAATTTAATAGGTTACATAATATTGTATACAATTTAAAGTTAAATATCAATGCTTATAAAGCATGTATTCATTTTTTCCATCATTCATTATAAAATAAAACAAGTTAAGTTCATGATATTTTTAAACCATAATGATTTACAATAAGTAAAAATATAACAATGTTTTAATTGATAAAATTTTCTACAAAAATAAGTATGTATCAATATTAAAATAGCTTCTGAATATTATTGAGCTGAAAGTACACAACATTAATTTTATAAATACTAATTACACATATGAAATAATTTTTAAATAGTTGAATTGATTTTGAAAATGAAAATTGCCCTTTTTAACACTAATTAGTTTTGAGCAACTATGTAGAACTAATGTGTTTTATAAATTGAATAAATTAACAATCATGCTGCTAAGTATTTTATAACGTTAAGTTAACCCAGCTTTAGTCGCGCTATGGTCAAAATGACCGCACTTTTTTTACATGTTATTCTATATATACGAAATTAAGTATACTTGGAATATTATAATATCATTTTTAATAACATTAATGAAAGGTATACTGAGTATCAATGGTTAAAATATAAAACAAATGTTTAATTAAAAATGTATATAAAGTGCGGTCATTTTGACCATAGCGCGACTAACGTGGGGTTAATAGCTGAAGCTTGATCAAGATTAAGGCTGAACAAAAAACAGTGAAATACTAAGAATTCGAAATCAAACTTAAAATTAAAAATGTTTGAAATATCACGTGATATTACATACATACATAATACAGATATCACACATATATTCATGGTAGTGGCGAGTCACATACTATGCGATGTTTCGCAAGAACTTCAAAAAAATGAAAAAAAGTTTTTACATTCTAAGGAAAATATTCGAAACAGAAATTTATACGTTTAAAAACATACACAGTTCAAATATACAACACACCTAACCTAGATTCGGGCATATCGAGTTTAAAAATATAAATACAACCTAATTGAAAAAGTATTCGTTCGTGAACCAAGAACGTGAGAAAAAGCAATTGAACTCGAATAATAATAGTTTTAGATGCGGTAAAATGAATTAAGAACCTATTGTTTGGAGGTGAACGTGTTTAAATCGTAACTCACTATAAAACCGAGAACAAAATAGCAAATCAATTATTATAAATTATCCGTAGAAAGAAACAGTGAAACACTAGTATTTAGCGAAACGTTTAACGAGACTTTAAGGATAAATAAAAATCAAAACAACTTACCAAGAGTCAAGGTATAAAGGATGTCAAAAAAATATCGGTGAAGTTAAACCGTCAGCGTACGCGTACAATGAGCAAATGGCGTCCAATTGAAAATTCAATAAGTTTAACCCTCATTGGTGGCGTTGTGCCTGTTAGGTTGGGTGGACAGTGGTGGTGGTGTTCGAGAACATTCTAGAAGGCGATATTCATGGAATAAAAACCATTCGCGTTGATAATAATTCGGCGGTTGTTGGCGTTCAAAATTACAATTTCATCGCAGCACGATAAACGTTTGAAATATTAATTATATCGAATAATCATTATCTTCATAAAATCGTGTACTATTACATAAGCATTAGAGATGTGTCGTTCATGAACGACCTAGTTCAATTGAACTATTCACTTTAGTGAACGATATGAACTAGTCGTTCATCGTTAATTTCCTTCATATCGTTCACATCATGAATTACTTTATGCAATATACATGTACAGTATACACCACCGTTCACTGTGAACGATTTAAAATTCGGATCGATTAGTTCACTATTGTTTGTGTTTCATTTTTTCATTTTTAATTGAAAAATATCCAGTGCTCGAAGTGGGGGGGGATACGGAGGGAGGCATCCTTCTACTTTTTTGTAATTACAATTTTCATCCCTCTACTTGTTTTGTCTAGAATAACGCATTCCTACTATGATTTGTATTTTAAAATGATATACTTATCATTTTTATATTTATATACGACATTTTTTTTTCGGTGAAAATAATTGTTTTTAACATTCAGGCCCGAGCGCCTGGCTTATCGTATTGTTTAGTATAAGTCGTTTCGCAACTCGTATTATACCCGTATTTAAACCCACGGACTAAGATAATAAAATTTATGTGAATTATAAAAAAATAAAAAATATTATAGGTACACAAGGTGTGAAGAATATTATGATGATATCAGGAAATCTAAATTATAAGGCATCCCTCCATTTATCTTGAGCCATTTCGACCACTGAAAATATCCATGGCATGTTATTTAAATTGATTTGCTTATTTTTACTCAACTTACTCAACTATCTAACCGATACATACTACATTAGTTATAGACATATTCACTTATTTTTATGTCAAAATATATAAAAATAAAAATAAAAAATAATAATAATCACATCTGAAATATGAACATACTACTTCAAAGCCTTCTCATGTTCATATACCTGTATGCAGTAGCGGATCCAAAGGTCATACAAGGATGGGTGAATTTTCAATTCATTTTTTTTTATCACCTATAGTTTATTGAAAAACTAATAATAATACCTACATAAAAATAATATATAATTGGTATAATCAGCACAACCCATTTCAAATTGTTATAAGATGACGATGGCGATAAGTTGATAACAACACTAGCAGCGCGCGTTCGAAAAGTGCCGTTTCTGCACTATTATGATCATTAATCAGGTCAGGAAAAGTCATAACGGAGAATGGGAAATAGTTTTACGGAGACCCATCATAAGTTATAACTAATGCTTAATGTGTAATTATTAGTAGTATAAAAAAAAAAAAATATCCGTTTTCAGCCCAATTTTATAATATAAAAATAACGTAAAAAATAGGGCCCAAAGGGGGGGGGCGATCGTCCCATCCCCCCTCATATCCGCCACTGAACGTATGTACGAAGAACACACTTCGAACATTACGTAATACAATAAATTTATTATATAATATGAACGATGTAATGACTGAATCACTGAATCGTTCATTTATGTGAACGATTAGTTCCCCGTATCGTTGATAGTCGATACGGCGAGTAGTTAATACATATGAATGATTTGTAATAAATATGAACGATGAACGAGTTCTCTGAACTTGTTCGTTCTAGTGAACGATGAACTACTGAATAGTTCACCTAGGTGAACGATTAATCTCATCTCTAATAAGCACTCCGCAATATTTTTGGCGTCAATACAGTGACGATTCACAACAACTGTTTTTTTTTCCTTCTTTCGTCTTCTCGGATATCCCAACTCCATTGTTTTTCGAACGCTGATAGGTTTCCAACGCGAAACGATTTTCTGTTCCAAGTTTTCCTGTTCTGTAACCGTTATCAACCACTATTATCAACATTTTTCCCGCTTCTTTCTATTGGTTTAATCGTTTTTTCCTTTGTTATTAAGTTGAACTCGGCGTCTGTCATCCGATATCCGAGTACCCGATTGATTAATTTCAGAACTTCAGCTTTGGAATTTGATACCTTTAATCAATCGTTAATCGCTATTAATCTTATTAACTACTACTTCCTATTGGTCGGTGCATTCGTTACTGCTTGTCAGTTGATTTTCCTGTAATTTCGTTTTCCCGTTCCATCGCCTAACAACACGAGTGCAGCGCCATCAACTGAGTACGTATACTGTATGCACAATTTTTACCAACGACTCATCATGTGCACTCGTTTGATAGGCGCTGAGTGATCTTTAATCTTTTGAATCTACTTATAAAATATATTCGGAAAATTAGCAGAAAAAAATGTTAGGTTGCTTAAAATCTTAATATAGGCAGCAGTTACTCGTATCAATTAATCACTACAATATTATACCACAATTCGTAAACATGTGTTTATAGTACGTTGAACAGTATAGAAAAATTATTTCCGGTCAGTATTTAATGTTTGCAATATAATTGTAGTGCTTTGGGCAATGAAAACATTTTACCACAAGTTTCTTTTTATTTTATCCATATTGAAACGGATAAACTTATTTTGAACATACATTAGTAAAATCAGTAATCACTTATTGTTTCTGATAAGAAAGTTAATTTATATTATTGTTAGTCACATATTTATTTGTCTTGTACATTACTCCTATACTTTATAAATATCTATCATTTGATGCTTTATACATTATTCGTGAAATTAATGATTTAAATACAAACTATGAGCTAATTATGAGCTATTACAAGCGTATATGAGTTATTTTGGAATTCTAAATTACATTTATCATTGTTAAAGATACTGATCTATACTGGTACATGATTAGTATATTTTAAAATAAGTCTGTTCAGAATATACAATACAATTTTTTTAAATAGTATGAAAATTATCTCTACTCTAGTTCTTATTAATAATCATTTGTAAATTACATTCACCATATATCCATTAAACTTTGCTCTTTTCCTTTTTAATACGGGATTATCTTAATGAATAATTGTATTTAATGTTGAATTATTAAATTATCTGTTCTCATATTTTTCAATTAACACTAAGCTTTATTTTTCTATATTCAATGAAAAAATTCTAATGGAATATTTAATTAAAAAATAAACTAGCTTTTAGTTATTATTTAGCTCAAAACTAGTTTTAGCTTAAAACTGTTTATATTATTAGATGACTATTATTTTAAAATATTAATTTATAATTACTATAATATATTGTCTTCTATTTTAATTGTCAATGATTTTTGTTTTCAGAATTTTATATTACTATTGATCAAAGTTCTATTTGGGATATGCCATGATAACCGACATCAACAATTTTATAGATGATAATATAAATCTAGCTGCACAGTTAAATACTTTACAATACAGGTTAGTATATTCAATTTAAAACATTTTCTCTAATCTTGGATTTAATCATAGATTATTAGTGTATAGGTTGATTGCATAAAATGAAAAATACGTTATGGTTATATAAGTTAGAAATTATTGTAATGATTACTGTATACCTGTAAAATATAATATATATTATTTATTTTATATTTATTAACTATTATAACTCAATAAATTATATTTTTCTAAAAACATCAGTTTAATGTTGTCTTTGATTGTAATTAATGGATCTTGATACTTTATTTCTTATTTAATCTGTTAATTTTTTTATAGTTTTTGTTTTATATTTATATAATTCACATATTTTAATTTATTCTTTAAAAACAATTCAGTTTAAACCAATATATGTATTTTTTTTTATACATAATGCATAAGGTATACTATTGCTGTTAGTTTTATTATCTGTTAGTTACAACTAAAAAATATTTGGTATTATATAATTACAGTACATTTTGATAGATTATTTTATAATATTTGAGTTTATTTGGTTTTTATAATGTTATAATTTAATAACAATTAAATTATTGAAACTATTTATTTTGTGGTTTATGAAAATGATAATTATATTATTTTTATGAGGCACATTATTAAAATATATTGGTCAGTCTTAAAAAAATTTACTATTAAGTTAATTCGTATTTAGAAATGTAAACACATTTAAGATACACTTTTATACTGTATTGAAACTATTAGTATACTATATAATTTTTTAACTGTCACTTTTAATAACCATTAAACTCATAGTATAGATTTTTGACAAATATTTACTTTGTGGTTTTCAAGTATAATAAAAATTATTATAATTTTATTTGTTTTGAAAAATGTTAAAAATTAAACTATAATAATACTGTTAATACTATTAAGTTATAAACTGTTTATATTTTATTTTATTCCTTTGCCATAATTATCTTGATCATTACCTTGGTTGAAAAAATTATTACTTTTAATTGTTATTATATCTATTATGTAACTCAGTAAAACCTATTGTTGAATTTATTTTTATTGCAGACTTATTTAAAACATCAAGAAAAATGTATAATAAGAAAAGATCAAATTCATCGGATAAGCCTGGAAATGTTAATAAAAAATTTAAAAACGAAGACAATGAACAATCCATGTTTGAAAATGATCTTGCTGTTATGGAAGAAATGGATAAAGAATTTGAGTCATCACCTGATGTATTGGGTGAGGGCCCTGATCAAGAAAATGCTAGTTCTATGTGGGGTAGACCTGCTTTAAAAGAAATTAATCCTGATACTGATAATTTAGCTTTTCAGCAACTTACTATAGACAATTATATTGGTGAACCAATAAAAGGAATGAGTGGTCCACAAACTGGATTAGTTCCTATTACTCGAATGTTTGGTATAACTATAGAAGGTAATTCTGTATGCTGTAATGTACATGGTTTTTCACCATATTTCTATACTACTGCACCTGAAGGTTTTGGTCCTGAGCATTGTAAAGAATTTAAAACCCGTTTAAATGCAGTTGTTGTAAGTGACATGCGTGGAAATCAAAATAGAGTGCAAGAGGCTGTTCTCATGGTTGAAATTGTTCAAAAAATGAATCTTTATGGTTATCATGGTGAAGAATTTGAAAAATATTTAAAAATTACTATGGCCTTACCAAAATTAGTACCTGCAGCAAAAAGGCTCTTAGAAAAAGAACAGGTATTTCCTACATTTCCTGGACATCATTATAAAATGTTCGAGACTAATGTTGATTACGATATGCGTTTTATGGTGGATTTAAAAATTGTTGGTTGTAGTTGGATTGAACTTCCTGCTCGTTCTTACACTAAACGTCAATTCAATTCTGACCGAAAAATACATTCTAGATGTCAATTAGAAGTAGATGTTGACTGGCAAAATTTGATAGCTCATGCTCCAGAGGGTGAATGGAGTAAAGTTGCACCTTTCCGCATTCTTAGCTTTGATATTGAATGTGCTGGTCGTAAAGGTATATTTCCTGAGCCAGACAAAGACCCTGTAATACAAATAGCTAATATGGTGCAAATAGAAAATAAAAGATTAATAAGAAATGTGTTTACATTAAATACTTGCGCACCAATAGTTGGTAGTCAAGTTATTAGTTGTGAAAAAGAAAATGTTATGCTTGAAAAATGGGCTGCATTTATGCGTGAATGTGATCCAGATATTATTACTGGATATAATATAAATAATTTTGATTTACCCTACCTAATTAATCGTGCTAAACATTTACATGCCAAAAATTTTAATTTCTTAGGGCGTATTAAAGACATACAATCCGTTATAAGAGAACAAGTAATTCAAAGTAAACAAATGGGTCGAAGAGAAAATAAAAGTATTAATATTGATGGAAGAGTTCCTTTTGATTTATATTTAGTTTTAGTACGGGACTATAAGTTACGTTCATATTCATTAAATTCTGTCAGTTATCATTTTTTACAAGAACAAAAAGAAGACGTTCATCATAGTATTATTACAGATTTACAAAACGGCACTCCTCAAACAAGACGTCGTCTCGCAGTTTATTGTTTAAAGGATGCGTTTCTTCCATTAAAACTTTTAGATAAGCTAATGTGCTTGATTAATTACATGGAAATGGCCAGAGTAACTGGTGTTCCATTGGGAAGTCTTGTGACTGGAGGTCAACAGGCTAAAGTTGTATCTCAATTACTTCGTCTTGCTCAAGAAAAGAATTACATAATGCCTACAATGACTAGTGGTATGCAAGATGAACAATTCGAAGGAGCTACTGTGATAGAACCTATAAAAGGTTATTATGCTGATCCTATTGCAACACTAGATTTCACTTCTCTGTATCCAAGTATTATGATGGCGCATAATTTATGTTATACTACACTGTTGTCTCAAAAAACCATAAACCTTTTAAATTTATCGGAAGATGATTACAAAAAAACACCTTCTGGTAGTTATTTTTTGTCAAGTTCCAAGCGCAAAGGATTATTACCAGAAATCTTAGAAAATCTGTTATCTGCACGTAAAAAAGCCAAAACAGATTTAAAGTCCGAGACTGATCCTTTCAAAAAAAAAGTTTTAGATGGTAGACAATTAGCATTAAAAATAAGTGCTAATTCAGTGTATGGATTTACTGGTGCACAAGTTGGCAAGTTGCCATGTTTAGAAATCTCAACCAGTGTAACTTCATATGGTAGAATGATGATTGAACGTACTAAGCAGGAAGTTGAGCAAAAGTATTGCATTGCTAATGGTTATGAACATGATGCTGTAGTTATTTATGGAGATACTGATTCGGTGATGGTAAAATTTGGAGTAAAAACTATTGAGAAAGCAATGGAATTGGGGCGCGAAGCAGCTGAATACGTTACAACTAAATTTATCAGCCCTATAAAGTTAGATTTTGAAAAAGTATACTTTCCATATTTATTAATTAATAAAAAACGTTATGCTGGTCTTTATTTTACACGTCCTGACAAATACGACAAGATGGACTGTAAAGGGTTGGAGACTGTGCGCAGAGATAATTCACCTTTGGTATCTAACATGATTAATACGTGTTTGCAAAAGCTGCTTATTGATAGAGATCCTGATGGAGCAGTTGCCTATGCAAAAGAAGTTATTGGTGATCTGTTATGTAATAGAATTGATATATCACAGTTGATAATCACTAAGGAGCTGAGCAAATCTGACTATGCAGCTAAACAAGCTCATGTTGAATTATCAATAAAAATGAAAAAAAGAGACCCTGGTAACGCACCAAAATTAGGTGATCGTGTACCATTTGTTCTAACAACAGGTACAAAAGGTACACCAGCTTATCAACGTGCAGAAGATCCAATATTTGTTCTGGAAAACAATATTCCTATTGATTTCAACTATTATTTAGAAAATCAGCTTTCTAAACCTTTGGTTAGAATATTTTCTCCAATTCTTGGTGATAAAGCTGAATCTATATTGTTGAAAGGTGATCATACACGCAAAAAAGCCATGGTAACATCAAAAGTGAGTGCGTTATCCGCATTTACAAAAAAAAAAGAAGTTTGTCTTGGATGTAAAAGTGTGCTGCCTGCCAATGAAGACAAAAACGCCTTGTGCAAGTATTGTTTGCCAAAACAAGGTGAACTATATTATCGTGAACGTATTAAAGTGAACGATTTACAAGAAAAGTTTTGTCGTTTATGGACTGAATGTCAACGTTGTCAAGGAAGTCTACATGAAGAAGTTATTTGTACTAGTCGAGACTGCCCAATATTTTATTTAAGAAAGAAAGTACAAATTGATTTAACTGCTCAAGTGAAAACAATGGATCGATTTGGAAATCCAAATAATAAATAGAATAATTTATAGACGTTAGCTAGACATCAGATCTAACTTTAATCTTGTATTATTTGAAAAATTTAAATGTTAAATACTTATACTAATTTTACTATGAGTTTTAGTCTTGATTTTAAAAATTATATCTTTTTAAAATGTATCGGTAATATATGAATAATAAATGTATAAACATTAATAATAATGAATAATAATAAGTTTTTCTAGACATTTTTTTTAATTGAAATAAAAAGAATATTTTATATATAAATAATTTGGTAAAATACAAAAATCTTTTTTTTTTATCTTATCTATTATAAACATTAAAGAGTATTATGGGTATGTATTATAATATTAAGAGCACAAGGATACAGTCCAATTTAATTTGAAAAAAGTAATAAAATAAAGCAGTTTGATATCAAATTCTTGTGTCTAGACTCGGAGTCTCTAAACTTTTTTAGTCAAAGGACACATTAAAATATCAAGTGCTTTCAAAAGGGCAAAATTTTACAAACACATAATTTGTAATTTTATTAAAATATATATATTAGATATATATAATATTAGATCAAATTCAGGTTATATGATACTGGTTCCAATTTTCAAAATTAACTCAAAACGTTTATCAGGCATATCAGTCGATCTATAATTTCATTTGATATATTTTATTGTGGAAAAAGCTTATTTTAGTAACAGTAGTAAACAGTATTTTCGTTTTTTGATTCAAATACACCTTTACCGATAAAAATAAAAATAATCGAATCACTTAAAAATCACAATGGAAATAAGGAAGTTATTAAGCGTTATATTATTCCAATAAATAATTATACGTTACTTATTAATAAAAAACTTCATAAATTCATCAGCAGTTCATCTATTAAATTGTTTTCATTTATTTCGGGCACTTACCTATATTTTTAAATTTCTAAAACTACCTAAATAACGTACTCTTTTATTACTGCCATAACAGTTTTGAAATTATAAATATCTTTTGAATTTTAAGAAATACTTTCCAAAACACCCATACCCCTTTAGAAACGGCATTATATGTTAATTAACTATTACAAACCTTAAAAACCACGGTTTTAAGTGTGGGATCAACCTCCTTGTTCATCGTCCAGTCTCGGAACGTTCCCACTCGCTCTGCCACTTCTGGATTACGTCCTCTCTCAACTCTTGCTCGGTTGAAACATTTAAACTCGCCCCATTTGTTTGATATACTGCTCTGCAGCCATCTTCCTCTGTGCCCCCAGCAACACGTTTCACTCGTAGACCAAAGTTTAACCTGGCCATCTCCAAGAGTGCTAACCCTCTCTCCATCTTTGGAGACTCCCAAACCTGAACATACGCATTAAGTCTCCTGAGAGTATAAAATCTTCGCTGACTGACCTGATGCTCTGTTCTAGTGAGTCAGGGAAGTCATGAAACTCTTAGTCTTAAAGTCTTATCTTGTTGATAATTTGGTGAGATGTAACAGCTGTAGATTCTTATGATACTCAGATCTGCCAATACCAAACTCGTTTCAGTGCCACTTTTTAATATTTTTAAGTTCCGGTAGAAATACTGAACACTTTTCCCACTTGTTCTATCTACCCATCTCGAGTGGTTTACAAGGTCATAGGCAGATATTTTGAGGGAGGTTTAAAGAATAAATACGTTCTTTAATTATCAAATTTTAAAATGTAAAATGTAATAGGCATTTAAAATCGTTCAGTTATATTTTAAGAAACACATTTCGGGAGAGGAGAGTCTGAACTCTAAACCCCCACCCGTGATCACGGCCTTGGTGGGCTGATATTTTATTGGGTTCACTAAAACTAAGTACTTTCGCTCCTTTGCCATTTTGTCAGGTACACTTCAGGATCCTCATGGACACGAATCTGTTCCCTTGCCGAATTGGGGGTTGAGAGAGTTAGTTTTTTCTGCAAAAGGTGTATTTAGGTCTCCCGCCCCAAGTCAGTTATGTCCAGGAACGGGTCGATATAGTACCAGGAGTAGAATCCCTGATGATGAGCTTGTCCGCAACCGCTTATTCATCCATCTCGAAGTTGTGGCTATTTCCAGTGTTGTGCTTAAATAAAAAAAATTATTTAGATAAAGATAATAAATCTGGATTTAAAATGATCTAGATATAGATAAATACGGTAGAAATTGAATTTATCTAGATATAGATGGATAAAATAATTTTTATCTAGATATTAATATAAAGCATCAAGTTTTCATCCGTTTGTAGACGAACACTTTTGGTCTTGGATAATGATTATATTATGTAACGATCCATTTCAAAATATAAAATATTTCACCAATAAAATAAAATTGAAAGTTATAGACAAAATTATGAAAAATATGAAGACTGTCTGACGAATAACACTGAACACGTTGAGGATGAATGCGCTGCGTATAGTACATACAAGTTTTTAATAAATAACAGACGTTTCACGCCTAATATTTATTTTGTTGTACAATAATATTATGTAGACACATCTAAGTACGAATTCATAGAATTAAGGTCCGGTAATGACAATTATTTAGAGCACATGATTACATGAACAATGGACATAATTAATATATAAATATTAAATTTAAAGCGGTCGAATGATGATGGAGAACGATCAATTTCTGAATAGGTAGAGCGTAATGCATATTGTAATATTGCCATTTTCTTATCGAAAATTATTTCTGTATTTTAGTATTTATATACCATCTACCGCGCAATTGCAATAATAACCAGCTTAGACCTATGGTGCGTTATCTCTGGTTCTAAATATAATCTAATATTCTTGTAAAGGCTCTTTCGGCGTTCGTAATACCACGGAACAATAGTAATATGGGCATGAAACTTTCCCGTGTGGGCCATACTATGAAATTATAAATAATTTTCACTCCCATCCATATTATGTAGGTAATTTGTGAAATTAATGAAATTAATGAAATTTCTTATTTAGTTATTTATTTTATACTGAATGATAAAATTGTAGAATATTTATTACTAATTATTAGCTACAGATTTTGTGAATTATCTAGATAAATTTATCTAGATGGCTATGATTTTTATCTAAATGAAAATTAGATGTCAATTTTATTTTTTATCTAGATAAGATAAAGATATGAAGTTTTTATCTAGATAACATATCTAGATAAATTTATTTAAAACACAACACTGCTTATTTCGCGACTACCCTGCATAACCACAGCCTGGTTACGCGTACGTTGGCATGCTCATGCTTCCCGAAGTGAATATGCCTACTCCTCACTTAATGGGTCGAGGTGCCTGAAACCAAATGTGTGTCAGTAATAGCGTGATAATTTTGTTTTATTTTTATTTCAGACGGAACGCGGCGCCTGGAGTATGGCTGATCTTTCTGTTACCTTGTGCAATAATCATTGGATTTTATACGTATAAAACCGATTCGGAACCATACGTCATATCGACAATTGTGAGTTGTGGTCTCCTCGTGAGTGCTGTGTCCAACGTGTTACATTGTGACCGGTTTCCAGCCAAACCATTGAGTTACATCGTTACCGCAGCTGTTGTCGCGCAGTTATTAACTCTTTATACTGATTTGGGCAAGTTGATATAGTTAAATCATAATAGTATATTGTACGCATGCAGTGAAATACTAGTCTTGGAAAGAGTATAATCATCACATAACAAGAAAATAGATCTGTTCGAAGAAAACAAATTCGTATTGGACACAAAACCTTGGTTCTAGATGGACTCATCACGGCCAGTGTGTGTATGTGGCGTAATTTCGGAAAAAAGGCTGGTACTCTTAACCCTTATGTTCTAGTGAGAATTTTTGTTCCGCGGATATTTTATTAGGAAAAATCATATTGTCATTTTGATCCCTACCCCTCTACATTTCTAAGCAATTGAAACATTATACCGAATTTCAAAAGATAAAAAGTACATCAGTACTATATTTTATTTTATTTATTTTTTTACTTATGAATAGTATTGTTTTACCAAAATTAATTTTGATATTAGAAGTGACCCAGAAAAAGGTTAGAGTTGAAATCTAAAACTTTTCCATAAATATACCTCTACTGAGGGTACCTATACCTCTGTTTTTAATCATATTTACTTAATATTATGCATACGAATATAAAGTGTATATTATATGGAAGCCGGATGATACACATGGCTTTTTTTTTTCTATCATTCTAATCGATGATTTTCTTGTTAAAATGTGTTTTGAGGACCTACTGAAATACATTAAATATAGTAAATAATTTATGTTATATTGCATTTTAGGTTTTTTTTTTTGTTTTTATATTATATTCAAATACTTTTAAGTCACTTTTTTGTAATTTTGACTTTTTATTAATTATTTTCCACTGCTTACCTATTGGATAGAAAAATTACAAATAAATTATTTCTTCAATAGAGTTCATAATTTTTGAGCTAAATTGAAACCAGTTTTCATATAAATATTGTAAGTAGGTACTCATACAAATACAAGAAAGGTTGTAATTTCCAATTTTAAAAATGTATACATAATTTCAGTGGGTAATTAAAATACCTTTATTTGCTTTTTATTATTTTTAATCAATACACACTGTGTTCTGTACGTCATGTATGTATTTGTATTGTATGGGGTTTTTAAAGATTTCAACGTCTGGATCTTATTGATTCTTGAGTAATTCTTAATGTTGCTGATTTTATATAGAATTTATTCATCACAGGTATCGGCTATAACGTGACATGTGCCGTGTTCTGTGCCCTTTCCTATCACCAACTGTTGCAATCAGTCGTCTCGTGCTGTCCTTTGAGTTTCACGTATGGTGAAGCCGCCGTGACAACGCAGGCCGTGCTGCTGTTTACCGTCGCCTCCGTTACAAACATGTTGGTGCCGTCCCACGTACAAACGTGCTTTGGCGTGTTCACGACCATATTGCAGGTATTTAAACTAAAGATGCGTATTCGTTTTCCAATCAATTTGAATGCAATTGATTCTTATTTCAATCACATTTTGTATCTAACTTTTACGGTATCTATTCAGCTCCATGGATAATACGAGTATAATACCTACATTCTCGTATTTGTATTGACAAATTTACGAATTTTCCATAGACACAACAAGACCTAAGTTTTAGTTGGGTAGGAGGGTGCTAAAATTACGTCTACCACACTAACCCACTCTCTCCAAAACATTAATGCCAATGCCATTTATAACATATTATCGTTACATAACTTCAACTTAATTGTTTATTTGTAACTACACATATATATTGCAATTAAAAATTAAAAATCTGATTATTGTTAGAATTGTTAGGGTTTTTACTAGTGATGGGTCGAACCCTGATTTTTTAAATCGAACCGAACTTAAACCGAACTTTAAATTATTTTTTCGAACTCGAACTTCGGTTCGCCAAATCTTCATATTTTCTACTGAACCGAACCAAACCAAACCTATTATGATTTTAAGTCGAACTCGAACTCGAACTCAATACTTATTATCATGTACATTGTACCTACCTACAAATTAAAACAACCATAATTATTAATTACTATTGTATTTTAAGTTTTCGTATTACCTATTCTAAATTTTAACTTGTAAGTCTAAGTAATTGTATTACTTATAATACATTTGAATTTTAGATAATTTCTTATTATTATTATTATTTTTCAAAACCAGTATTGTGCCCTCTCGTGTTGTCTTGTAGCTTTTAAAATATTCATTGAGTATTGAGTATTGAGTGTAATATGACAATACAATCAGTACATTTTAATAATATATAAAAAAAATAGTAATAATAACTATAATTCACAAATATAGAATGATAAGTAGAATTTATAATGTAAGACGTAAGTTGTATACATGTTTTTATTAAGAACACAGTCGCGGTATCGGAATATTACCATGGATTTACCCAAAATAGATTTTAACCTGTATAATAAATATGATAAAAACAAAAATAACTAATTTATGAATGTAGGTACACTACCTCTATTGGCGATATGCAACTTATTAATGTTTTAGTCGGCGGAGGGTGGATGTGTAACATGCGACTGGAAAAATAACATTATTATTATAAATTATGCATAACTTGCCCATTACAGATTATCACTTTCTATCGTCAATAGTCTAATTATTTATAAATAATCATTATCAATTTTTATTTTTCAAAAATAATTTTTGAAGAATTGTAAAAATATTTGGTTTTCGAACTATCGTGACCAGTAAGTCTGGTTCGACAAATATTTTCAAGTTCGATTTTCGAACTGTAAAAGATACTTGATAGTTCGGTTCAATTTTTTTCATGCTGAGTTTGAATTTCGAACCGAATCGAACATCAAGGGTGCTAAAGTCTCCCTAGCTTGCGCCTATGTCTATGACTCATTATGGTAAAATCCAAATTTCAATGTTTTAGACTCTTCATCTTGTACATTAATTCTAAAACTGCGTTTGATATTAATTATATAATAACAATTTATTATTAAATAAGTATATATCTCGTTATATATCTGTATATATCTGTATTAATCAAATTTAAAATGTATATAAAAGTTCTTGCCAGTAGTAGTACATAATAATTTCATGTTAAATTGCATGTCTCCTTTCATACTATTTTATGATGTCAATGTTTAATTTATAAGTACATCATGTATAATAATATTAGTTATAAGATTAATATGATAATTTGAAAATCAATGAAGTTTTTTTTAAATATTTAATGAATTTATTTGTTAAGAAAATAATACGAAAAAAAATAAAAATAATATAATATAATATTATTATAATTTAAAATTATTAAAACAAATTATACTATATTCACTTTCTTAAATATTAAATTTTAAATGTATTATTATTAAGTAGATAACAATTAATGATAGGATTAAGACTGCTTAGTTCCAATAAATTGTGGTTAAATATAAAAATTATCAAAAACAACCTTTTCATGTTTTGTTGCATTTTAAAAAATGTTTTCGGCTCCCGAGGAGGTCGCATTCCCCAGGTTGAGAACCGCTATTTTATATCATCGTCTGGAATTCGATAAAATAAATACTATGTACTCGTATACAGTGACGGTGCTAGAGTTTGCGAGGCTCTGGGCAAAATAAATGTTGGGTCTTATAATTTATATTAATAAAATATTTTAAGTTCAGTTAAATCGGAATCGCGGGGCCTTAATTATAATTTAAGGTGCGGGGCCCTGGGAAACTGTCCCTATTGCCCACCCCCTCGCGCCGTCCCTGTTCGTATATATGCGTGATGTACACAAGGTTTCACCAATATTTATGCATGTTCGCGAATTAAGCGTAATTACATTATATTTTACAGTTTGGAATCGTTGGCGTATCCCTATTTTCTCTGGCTGTGTACAAAATTGAAATTTTGCGCACCTCATCCGCTAGGTTTTATGCGGTATTTACCGTATTCATATCCGTTACAATCGTGCTACCGTTACAAATCGTCCTGGACGCTAATCCCGTTCTGGAAATTCTAAACTGGGCCTTAAAAGACCGTTATACGGTAAGGAATCCATAATATAAATATTCATGATAATTAAATCGTGCAAAAACGATACTAAATAATATATTATTATAATAATAATAATAATTATAAATTGTTTTACAATACACTGTACATATACTCGTAGACGATCCTGTTGCTGTACTGGATCGGGTGTACGGCATTTGCCTTCATTTTCGTGTGCACACAAATAATGAGTGACGTAAAAGCATCGACGTCGATCAGGAAGAACTTCCATTTGATTGTTTGTCTCGTGTATGTTCCGGGCCTGGTTCGTGATCCTTGTTTGTTATACTTGGCAAGCGGTGTGGCTTTTGCTATTTTCGTATTGTTGGAAGTGAGTATTATCAATCACAAGTGCCTTGTAGTTATCATACTTATAGCAGGTGCCTAACTTAGATCTTTAATCCTACGGGCTAAACAATCGCATAATTTTGTGTTGTTTGATAGACATTACGCATTGCTAAGATTCCACCATTAGGCGCAGTCCTTCAGGAAGGTTTTCGCGTGTACTCGGACGAGAAGGACGAAGGACCGGTGGCTTTCACTCCGATTTACTTGCTGGTCGGATGTTCTCTCCCGCTTTGGATCCATCCGCAACCTGACGTCCAGAGTCTGTTGCCCTTATTGGCCGGCGTATTGTCTATAGGCATTGGAGACACGACCGCCAGTGTGATCGGCTTTAAGTTTGGGCGACACAAGTGGAACGGTACTTTATTCATGTATTATTATAATATAACTATTTAGTGGATCTGTATATTTTTAAATGTATACATCCAATGGAAATACGTTAGTAATAAGTAAAGCGTGGATTTATATACAATAAAAACCAACCAAACTTGCGCTAATAAATCTATAACATGCACAAGTATACCTGTGCACTAATGTGTTAAAATAAGATCTGATTCAGGTTCTAAATCATATACATACCACTCATCGTAAAATATAATCACACTACATAACATCATAACTAAAAAATGTATTAGATATTCATTTTTCTACATTTAAATTTTAAAATCCTTGCCATGAATTAATTAAAATTAAAATTTAGCCACTATTCAATATTTACGAAGTAAGTTTGTTATGATACGTATGCTTACGTTATTTTACAGGTTCGAAAAAGTCCATCGAGGGTTCCATAGCTTGTTTCACTTCTCAAGCTCTGTGTATCATCGCGCTCAAGTATACAGGTGTGTATATTACTATCATATACATATATATACCTATATACTTATATTTTGTTTGATTCTTTTAATTACAGTGCAATTTTAAAAATAAAATTTACTAATATAACGTAAGGTTATGCAAAAATATTGATAGTTAAATTAAAAATAGTTTCAATATTTATTTTTAACTCAAATCTTTATATTTGAGTGGTAAAATAAAAGTTTCATAAATGAAGAATTCACGCTATTGATTCTGTCGTTAAAATATTTTATTATTTATGCGTGTTATGTTTGAAATAGTTAACATGCATTTAATTATACTTAAATCAAAATTATTTTTCAATTTCGAAAATTTCAATTTAAATCTTAAATTTTTTATTATGATTTTTTTAATGAATTTTAATTTTCTACAGGTTTATTATGTGATATAAATCTTATGGTACCTCTACTTGGAGCTGGTATTATAACTCTTGTTGAAGCAAAAACCGAACAAGTCGATAACTTAGTACTGCCTCTTATATTTTATATATTGTTATTGTTCTAAAATAATACGATTAATAACACAAGTTTTTGATTTTAGAACCAATTGTTTGTTACATCTTAATATATACCTATTTCATTTATTTTATCAAATTGAATTTGTTGCAGTTTTTACGACACAAAATAAATTAAACCACACTTAGTACATAATATGTATCTTATATATTAAAAAAATATATGAAAACTAAAGTCAGTCCGTCTGGCCGTTCTATCCGTCCGATTTCCTTCATTTTTCTTTTAAATGAAAGATATTTAGATACAGATATGTCATCAATCATTGAAATTGACTCAACTCCCACAAACGCGATTCTTCCCTATACATTTCTTATGGGACACATCACTCAAGAAACATTCAAATTCTCATATCTCCTCTTATAATGAATATATCTTGATCATTTAACTTTCAGAACACTCAGTGGATCAAGTTCTTTCTTTTGAGCTATTAACTGCTTAAATTCGTTGAGTTTGAGGAAAGTTATGTGTGCACAATCAGCTTTACTTTCAATTTTTTCCAAATACTTCATTCTCATTGACTCTTACCTAGTTATATAACAATAAACAACTCACAAACAATACTAATATTATTACTTATATTATCTAATATTTTCTGGAAGGAACCACTATAAAATGATTTTATGTAATAATTACATCCTCTCACACATAGTCTATCCTAATGCGGAACATGTATTTTAATAAACACTCTCTGTCATTTCGATATGTCTTTCAGTTTTCGATATTATAGGTACTCATTTATTGATTTGTTAAAATGTGTTTATGTATTGATTCGATTGTACCTATAATTTTTATTATATAAATAAATTATCTATTGCAAATTTTCGCAATGGGTATACTAGTAATATATTATATTATACATTTTTTATAATATATTTTATACTAAATATCTAATTTGTTGTTATATAGGTAATATTTTTTTTTATTGAAAAATATTTATTGTTGTTATATATTTATATACCTACGTGTATACCTACCTAAATATAATAATTAAAATTCTTGAATATTAGTGGAGCTATTAGAAGAAGAAAGCAGAGGATAGAAATAGATGAAGTATATACTTGGAGGGCTGGTCTTAAAGGCCGTTTCCCCCAAAAAAAAAAAAAAAAAAAAAATTAGCGGAGCTGTTACATCAGCTTATGTTTTATAGCGGTTCATAATTAGGTCGTCAGAATCCTCTTGGGTGATGTCGTATACGAAACGAACAACTTTTACGTAAACGCGGAAACCAGGTCTAAAGTAAATGATTTTGATTTATGAAAATCATCGTATTGGACGTACGCCAGTGATTGTGTCAAACATTCATTGCTGAACAAAATTTTCAATTTCTGAAAGATTACGGCCTGTTTTTTTCACCCAATTTCGTAAGAAACTTAATGAAGACTAGGTGATTGTTTTGGCGTCACGACGTCTACATCACTAACTTTAATAATTTACATAACCCAAAATTTAACATCGATCACTATCAAAATTGGTGGCACCATAGTGTTCACTGTTCCAACTTATGGACTTAACGATATGCGGAGTTTCATGATACCGCTTGAGACGATAAAAACAAATTATCGTTACTTAATTGCCACATCTCGGAAATGATTATTATTTCCTACCATGTACCTGATACATATTATTATAATCAAGCTGTTCTAGCAATTTTTTATTTTTATTTATTTAATAATATAATTATTTAAGATACTATTAAATTTAATAAGATTAATATTAACATTTTATCATCAGTATTAACAATTTAAAGTTAGTTTAATATGACCATTTAGTACTTTTAAGGTAAAATATTATATAATCTATATTATTAATACATTGGCGTATACAAGGGGGAGGAGATGTGGGAGTTATATTTCCTTTTAGGCCTTTTTTTAAATATTATAAAATAAAAGGCGTTAGAAACGTAAAAAAAAAATGATAAAAAAAATAATGATTTGTTTGCAAATGATCCCCCACATAAAAGTTATGTATATGGCACTGATCTAGTAGATTTCTCCGATATCGCAAACTTTTTTACGAATATTTAGATATCGATATTCTAAATACGTTGTACGTTATATCGATAGTCGAATATACTTTTGGCTTTTATAAAAATTAATAAATTATATAATATTGTCAAATCCATGGGTTTTGATTTATTTTGGGATCATGTAAAAAATAGCGCATGATATCGGAAACAGTGACACAAAGAAGTATTGCTTGTACTGAAGTCAGTTATCGATAATGATCGTGATGGTTCATTATTTTAATTCGTTAAAAATGTTATTGTGTTTTTATTATTAATATATTAATTTCATTTTAACTCGTTAAAATTGTTATTGTTTTATTATTAATAATGATTAATTATAAATGTATGCCATGAGCATTTATTAAGAAATATTCTTGTACTATGATAAGTAAAATAAACATAACAAATTATTTAATACTCATTTTTAAGTGTTATACATTTACACATCATACAATACAAAATAAATGATATTGATTGAAAAAAAATCACGAGAAACCTGTAATTTTGTGAAATTTGAGTAATAATTTCATGGTGATAATTAAGATTTATGATAATGTTGAAAAATCAAACCACTGTTGTTACAACCGTTGTCTACTCACACCTAATAGTTTTTTTATTAATATTATTATATTATCTTTCTTCATTATAGCAAAGTAATTACAGCGTTAATATTATTATTACATTTTTATTAAAAGATAGATTAAGAAACTGACACTATGTTGCAGGCCCTATTATTTGTACAATTTCGGACTGCACACTTGATTTTACTGTTTTAAATTAAAATTTAGTCTCGCTACTGTCTTAGAAAAAGGAATATATTGCATACACAATATATATATATATATATATATATATATATTTAAAAAATATTTAAAAAAATTCAATAATACTCAAATTTCCTAGTAGTTGACTTATTATTTAATTTTTGTTTTGTAGACCGTAGTGCACACTTGTACATTCGTGGTGCACATTGTGTGTCGGGTTGCACATCAAAATAGGGCCTGCTATGTTGTTTGTTACAAAATATAAACTTACGCTAAGATTTTCTAGTACTCTGTATTTGTAGCATAGTGTTAAATGAGTCAGTTATATTATAGTCAAGGCCGGCGAAGGCACGTGCGACCGCACAAGGCGGTAAATTTATTTGAAATTTTAGAGGCGGCATAGTTTATAAATAAAAATATGTATTTTTTATGATTAATCATTATATTTAATCATTGTAAATTCAAAATAAAGCATATTATATTATTTTGACTGGTACTGTGCCATATCATATTATGTAGTACTACAAAAGTACCTATTTATAAACAATATAATATGGGATAGCCGCTAACATTGTTGCTCGGCGCAATTCACGATTATCTTTACGGTGAATAAAGTTCTCCAAAAAATGATGTACAATAATAATTATTGTACCTGCATAATAATTTTTATCGGCGATAAAAATAGTTTGCTTGTGACAAGTGATGACAATACGTAGTCTATCTGTACATATTTTTACTGTATATTTGTATATGCATTTAAAAAATTTTCTTTTAACTGTTCGTCAGGGAATTGTTAAAGACATCGATCATAGGGTGTTGCGCATATTTTTTAGTGTATCTACACGTCATTTTCTTATTTGGTGAGTGTTTTTCTAATTGATTGTACAATTATTATTATTATCAAGTGGATAAATTATTTTTATACAATGGAAAATTAAAAATACTTCCCGATATATGACTTCAACATTTGAATGTACGTAACCTACATATGAATTCATTGATATTTTATCTAGGCTATTAACAAAGCAGATTCTTAATTTTCAATACACAAAACTTAAAATTAATATTTTATTTTTAAAATTCTGTGTAATTATTGCATTAATTTGTATCAGGCTCAAAGTTGTTTTGGTTTGTGCCAAAGCATTGTATTTTTGTTGTTTATTACTAAATATTGTTTTAGCCATTTCATCATTATTATTGTTATATAAAAATAAATTATTTTCATACATTGTATTTGGTGGCGCGAATAGAAAAAAAAATTTAAGGGAAGGTAAAGCCCCAGCAGTTTTTTTAAATGAAATTTACATAACTTTAGTAGTATTTATGTTTCTATAATTCGGTTTAAAGTGCAGTAGATAATTCATACATATTATAACATACTTACAAATGTTTTCTCAATAAATAAATAAATAAATAAATTTTATTTTTAATAATAATAAACAGAGTTAGGATGTTGATTATCTTTAAAACAACATAAAAATGCCTTAAAAAAAAGCTAAAATGCCCTAAACACTCTAAAAAATGAATATCAAGAACGACCAAAAAATCTACTAAAATAAGTGAAAACAATTGAAAATTAAAAATAATAATTATTATTAATAAATAATAATAAATAATAATTATATTAAATATAATAATATATAATTAATAATTATTAATAAGTGTGAATTAATGGGTGTCAGAATATCTTAAGATTATTTCAAACTTTATAACACTGAAATAAATAAATTGATAGTTTTTATTCTTTTCTAATTTTTATTAAATAAAGGTATTATTGTGCCTTAATTAAATTTACTTATAATTAATTAAATTTCCCTAAGTTTTGTTTTAAATTTTCAGAAGACGAAATTTTATAATTTGATCTCCTACAACATAATCCAGTTTTTCATTAATTTTGTTAATTTTGTACAAATAACTATGTACTAATCATAGGGAAACCATTAATTGAAAGAGACGGAAAAATACTTAGCACCGGCCCTGATAATAAAACCAATTCTGGGTAGATGCAATTTAGTTCCAACTTTTATTACAGATAAAATAATATATAATTGACAAAGCATAAAAATAAGTTTATTTATAAAAAAAATACTAATATATAATATAAGCATGTAAAGCACATTTTATTGCAAAAAGAATTACATAATTTAATATCATCAAATAAATAGAAAAATATATAAAAATATAGTGACCGGTATAAATATGTATTGATTACAAATATATTTTTATATAAGTATACTGATCAGTGTAGACTAAATATGTAAATATTCTTATCTTTTATAATTTATAAGTTATATAAAATAATAATTTGAACTTATCACCCAATAGTACAGTTAATTATTATTAAATGCATATAAATAAAAGACAGTATAAATTAAAATAAAAGTTCAATAATAATTTCAATCTATTAAAAAAACAAAATACATTCTTATAATATTTGTTAAACATTCGGATCGTTTTAGGAGATTAAATTGATAATTGAATTTTAATGAGTATTGAATAATTCGGTGATAAGTATTCAATTGACAAGTGAGACAAGTATTTTTAATCAAAACCATTTGAATTTATAAAACACTTTCAGTCTACAAAGTAAAATGTAAAGCTCCAAACCAGCAGCATGGTGGAGGTTTAGAGCAGTGCTTCTCAAACTCTTTTTGTCATGAGGGCCCCTGAATTTAATATAAAATTGTCAAGGCTCCCTTAATCAAAATCATTATTTTTTCTTAATTATATATTAAAACTACAACTACTACTTCATACAGATTAACTATTAATATGTGTAGCAAATTAATGTTTTTTAATTTACTTTCGAGAAAACTTTATTTTATTTGCTAAACTTTATACACGTATATATACAAATAAAAAAATCAAGGCCTAAAGAAAATAATTTAGATAAAATTAATATTTCACGGCTCTTCAGTAATATAGCCATGGCCTTCCTATGGGGCAATGGCTCCCAGTTTGAGAAGCACTGGTCTAAAGGAGCACCTACTCCTATTACATTCAGGGTAGGTCTATTAATATTTAACATATTATATATACACAGTACATGAAATTTTATATTGTATATAATGAAATATTAGTATACACAAAATAATAATAAGCAAAAGATAATCCAAGCATTAACAAGTATGTAGTGAAAACATTAAAAATTAGTGCATTATCAATGTGTCTAAATCACAAATTATATTATTTTTGTAAATCTCTAAAATAATATTAATTAATATACTTAATATACATACAATAATTAATAATACACTAATAATGTGCATGAATATATCATACTGTCACAGTTTCTGGTTTTTTTCTACAATTTTTGTTTTGGGAATTGCGAGGTTAGTATAAATTAAGAATAGTAAATAACTAGTAAAAATAGTTGACTTGAAACCGATATATGTTTTATTTTTATAATATGTAATAATATTAGTGTGCATTAAGCTATGATATCTCTATGAGCAAATTTTTTTGTATGTTTAATAAAATATTGGGTGGGTGAGTTAGACTAAAATCATCACTCCATGTGTTAAAATAGCTTGCTTCGTCTCTGATTTAAACACATGTTTTGTTTAAAAATATTTATATAAGGAAATTATATCATATAATCGATAACATATGAGTGAAATATATTAACTTAGCTACAAGCATAGCACATGTTTCAAAGATAAATAATAAAACAATAGAATAGCAACAATAATTTGTAGTATTGCCAATTCTAAATTCAATAGATTATGAATATCAATTTATAATGTTCAATTAAACCATTGGTAAACTATCCATGTTTAAATTAGAAATAGGCTAATAATATATGTTTTCAATATTTTAAGTAGGTATGCAAATAAGTAAAATATCTTGTAACAAATTTACATATTAATATTCAAATTATGTAAAAATAAATTATACATATGAAGTAAGTTTGTTGATTATTAATCAGACAATTTCTAAATAAATAATATAATATTTTATACTACTCTCAATATCCAACACTTGTTGGAAGCTTGATAAATTGTTTACCTAATTAACAAGCAATATATATAATATAAATTAACTTTTAATTATAATATAAACATTTAACCAAGAATTTAATTAAACAAAAAAAAAAATATCCATTACAATTATGTTATGTGCAAAATGTGAAATTATAAACTTTGCTGTTAGTCAGAATATTTTGTTTGAACTCAAAACTATTGTTAGTGTATTATACAAAAAATATTATTTTTAATGAAGTCGATTTTTTTTTTTTTTTTTTGTACAGTCATGATCAAGTTACTGATATAATTTACTTAAGTGTATGATAAACATTTATGAAAAACAATAAATAATACTAGAGTTATAAAATTCAGTTCCAATTGAACTTTTTATTGTGAAAGGTCAATTTCATTAAATAATTGTAATGCTACTGTAAGCAATATTGTAGTTTAATGTGAAGAGTTTAAAATTATAGGCTGGAATAGAATATTAAAAACCAATGACATAAATGATGATATTCAGAGTACAATAATAATAAAAAAAAAGTAATTTATTTTAAGCAAAAATCATTATTCATGAGTAAAAATGTTGTAAACTAGACAGTAAGTTAAAATAATTTACTATATACATATATATAAGATATTGATTATAAATAATAATTTGGTTATGCTTTGGACTGTGCATATAACATACTTTACTTAAATTTTCTGTTTGTAATAAATATTATGAGATTTTGGTAAGGTTTTATACCAAAAAATTTCCACATTTCCAATGAAAATAGTTTTTATTTCATTTAAATAGATAAACGTTAGTATATTACACATAATTTGTATATTTATCATACTTAGTACAATTTTGTAAAACTTAAGTTGAGACTGTAAGTTAATTATATATTATATATATATATGTGTATATATACACACACACATACATATCTTGTGAAGAATTACATAATAACAATCAGTCAGTGTTAGAACATTTAATAAGTTAACATAGTCCAATACCGTCGCTTTCTGCATTTCCCCTTTTTTCATAGAACATGACATCCTATAAAAGTAAATTAATATTTAATGAAAATTTAAAAGTGTAATTAAACATTAAACTTACAATCAAGAAGCAAGCACCTAACATAACTGCTTTCATACGAACATCAAGATCTATCGGAAAAGTTATTCCAAAATAATCAGCATCGGTAAATATTTCTCTTAACAAACCTGACCATTGTTTTGAAATACGACCAACTTGAGTTGTTTGGTCTTTAGATAAAACCTGAAAATATATTACTATGTATTGAAATTATACTTTAGGGAATACATTATATTTATTGTTAATGTTAAATTGAATCTGATAAAAATATTACTTTGAATTCAACATCACCACACATGCTAAATCGGCAAATTGGGCCCTCAATTTTTAACACTTCTTCATTAACAGCATTACGAATAGTGAATATTGGTGTCAAAATAGACCAGTCTTGTTCAACACTTCCAACCAGACATCCAGGTGGTGAAAATACTTCAATTCTCTGTGAATAAGTTATAACTTTAATCCTATAACCAATAGAAACTGAACCTGATATTGATATTAGACGAAAGTATGACTTATAAGTTTACCTGCATACAACAGGGGAAAAAGCAAGATTGGCAAGCTAAAGGTCTTGATAAATGAATCACTTCATTTTTATAATTATCTAATATTTTCATTTCAAATGGTCGTATTGGCCCACAGCAATTTCGTGTACAACAATCATTATCTTCGACTGCATAAAATACTTTTTGACCAACACCATTTTTTATTGTATATTTGTTGTTTGTCTCAAAACCAATTAAAGCTATAAAATCATATATACAAAGAATATAAGTTAAAATTAAAAAAAATTTAATACTTTTGACATTGAAATGCATATTTGTAGATTGATTTATAATGATTATAAATACTAAAAACAAATGTTGATCTTTAAAAACACGTATTGTTCACTTCAGTACAACCAGTGTCATGTGTTAAGTACTTAACAAATATTCAAAATAGTGACAAATAATAAATGATTGCATTTAAGTTACTAAATGTATATTTCTTTGTCAAATATAATAAAGATGCATAAGATTTTTATGAAAATTGTTAGCAATTATTTTGGTTTAGCATCTACAACAATAGTATTAAATTATAATTTTTAATCAAACTTCTTATAGACACTGAGTACAATATTTTGTTGTATTTTGAGTATTCAATACAGAGAGAAAGAATTCATACAAGAAAAGCATAACATGTAATAGCTATTAAAAAAATTATCATATTATCATGTAATGTGAATATAATATACTTCACAGATAATAAATACAGTTACCTTCAAGAACTTCCACTTTTTGTTTAACAAACAATTGATTAATCGTTGAAAGACATTGAAGTCCATTTGGACAATTTTGTGGTATGGCTGGAGGAATAGGCATCCAACCATCTATGAACATATTAAATTAATGTTATGATCAAAATAATATAAACTTAGTTTTTTGATCATGTATATTGATAAACACAATCAAACAATAATTCATTAAAGTATACTTTAAGTTACATAATTTGAGAAATAAAACCTACCAGATGAAGCTTGAGGAGGTGGTTGGTATGCATTTGGTTGATGCTGTATTACTTGTCCATAACCAGGTTGTGAATATGGAGGGGGGTAGTTTGGATTTTGAGTCATAGGATATCCTTGATTTTGTTGTCCTGGTAATGGTTGATGTTGATACATATTGTATTGATCATGTTGATAGGGCTGGCTATGATTAGCAGGTGGTGGATATTGATTTTGATTAGCAGGTGGTGGATATTGGTGTTGATTAGCAGCTGGTGGATATTGATTTTGAGGAGGAGGATACTGAGAAAAACCTGTAGAATAATAATGTATACACTATAAAATGTATTAGAATATAATTTGATGTTTATTTGATGTTAATAACAAAAAACAAAAGAATGTTAGTTTTACAAATAAAACATTGATTATTTAAACCAGGCACGTAGCTAGATATTTCAAAAGGGAAGTGTTATTCAAAATTAACCAACAAAATTATACACAACAAAATAATAACTTTACAGATACTTTATTGTACAAGCATACAAACACACTAGTACATTACACATGATCACATCTTATATGATACATAATCACACAGATTATTTATATTTAAAAAATACTAATTAATTATCTTTCATAAACTGTAATTAGTCTATTATTTGAACATTTGCATAATTCATTATAACTTTCATGATGTTAAATTAAATGAAAATAAATACCTATAGGTACTAAATAAATACCAAATAAACATTTATGGACATAAGATATAATTAAATTAATATATTTTTTTTTTTTTTTGTTGAATTCTAGAATATTAGTTAAAATTAAAACTAATATAATATGAATCAATTATTTCTAGTAAAATATTCTACTAAAATTAATATCACATATTTTTAATTTAATAAATGTACCTGCTGGCGGTGGTGCATTAGGACTGGAATACATTTCAATATTTTGCTGGATTAAATATTCTGAAAAAAAAATAAATAATATTATTATCTTACATAATTTTAGAAAAAACTTGTACATACAATAGTGTATTTTCGAAGGGGGAGCTGGGTATCGACCCCCTCTCCTCTATTAGAAGAAAAAATGGTTCAATAGTCATAAATTACTTACTATGAAGGTACAGAAAAAGAGAACATTAATTTATATTGTGGTTGTAATGTTTGTACAAAAATATAATTATTAATTCATACTTTATATATAATTTATAAAATATTATAAAATCACTTATTTTTTAGAAACATTTTAAGCCCTACCCTTCCTACAAAATTTTTTAATAAATGCCACTGTGAACATGATACACTATAGTAAACTATAAGCACACTGTACTACTATTTATATTCATTTGTTAAGTTGTTTATAAGTTTATGTTTATGTTATGACTATGAAAATAATTGTGTTATTGTTGTCATGGTAATTATGCAACGACCCGTGACTTCCAATGACTCATTACTTCATAGCATTATAATTTACTACATTGAAATAAGAATATATCTTAATCAAGAATAATTAATTATATTATTTAATTACATTAAGATAATGTTTTTTTTAATAAATAATAATACACCTACTTTATTTATTATTTAAATTTTATTTGAATCAATATTTGAATATGATAATACATTTTAATACTATGTACTGATTCTATTATCTAACACTCTAAGAAATTAAACTTCGAGATGGGACAAAACAAAAAAAAAAAACTTAAAAAAGTATTTTACTTGTTGTATAAAAATATGTAGCGAATTCCTAATTGTCAATTGCGAGTATCATAATACGATGAAAATTCTTGATGTCTGAAGGACACATGTGAATAATGAGTCATAGTCAAGTAATAGTCTACTAAGAATAACTATTAGACTACTAAAATAGTCTATTAAGTAACAATGGAAACAGTGGTGCATTTAGAATACGAGTATATGCGCCCCGGGACGAAATTATTTTATTGCCATCCCTCTCCCGACTTGTCTTTATAACCTCAAACCTCCCTTTCCACCCTCAATTTATGAAAAATATGCCCCTTATATGAAAATATACTTTGAACTCGTATGGTAATAATTAGTAAGAATCAGTTGTTATCACATTAAACTCAAAATGATTTGATTCGATAATCTGTTATCATAAAATCATTGTTAATCATAAAGTGTAATACTTACACGTTAACCAATGTTATAATACTCTAAATAATTAATACTAATATTAATACTAATAATATTATATTATATTATATTATTATACTAATATTAAATTATTATTAATACTCTCGATAAAACCGTTAAAATGTTGCCGCTGGAGGCATTCACTTCCTTTACCCTCCCCCCATAAATGCGTCATTAATAGGAAGTATATGCTGAGCAGTTATTCAAGTTATAAGTATTTTATCACGTTTAAAATAGTCATATATTTCAAAATTTCTATAAAATAAATTCTTAAATAATCTAAGTATTGAAATATTGTTAGCCGGAGGCAAGCAACAGTGGTCATCAAAAATAATTGAAATTTTTTAAATAGGCGCAGAAAAAAAATATGTTTTCAGTAGAAAACAAATATTTCATTTATATATAATAGCTCGGTCAGTTAAACAAGTTACAAGCGCGAAGCAGTAATGTTACAACACGTTACATATATGCGTGTTTACGTAATTAATGGCATTAATTAAAGTATCTGTTGGATGATTAAAAGTTCTATCATAATATTACCTTAAATTTTTCTAAATTAACTACAGGTGAGAAGGAGCATTGATCAAGTCACATACAGCCGTACATACAATATAATTCTTGTTTATAAACTGCAAGCAGCCGACTGTTGAAACAAAACCACTACTGATGCATGCAGCCACATCGGCAACAGCTGCGTGCAGCCACTGCTGCACTTAACTGCAGAAACGAAAACATACCTTAGAACTTTAATGTTCTATAATTTTGCATTCCACATTAGTTATCCTTAAATCTTAAAAATTTAATTTTTATAGCATACTTTAAAAGCCAAAGATAAACCATAATGATTAATTTATTTGGGGTACTTGGAGGGGGGGGGCTTAGCCCTCAAATATTTTAATAGTTCCCTTAAAATTGAAACTTTGTTAGAAATTTTGTTCGTTGTTTTTATAATTATCTGTTCGTTTTTTTTTAAAAATCGTAAAATAAGAAATAATAAAAAACTATTTAAAATAACATTAACAATACCTATTAGTTCGGTTACTTTTGAAAGGAAGTTTCAGTACAATGATAAAAATAAAAACTTGGTTAAGGACATCGTTGGTTTAAGATAGGTTCAGTCATCTTTCAATACTATATATTGAAAAAGATATATCAAAACAAGAGCGTATTTGATTGGGGGAGGAACGCGAAGGTGGCATTCCCCCCCCCCCCCATGGCTCGTATTTTTTTTTAATATAATACATTGATTTATTTAAAAAATGTTACGTATAAATAATTAAAAATATAAATTAATAGTCTATCATTATAATATGTTATCATTATACAGGAACATGAGCTGTAGGTTATGAACTATAAATTATTTTTAAGTTTGTATTGAAGAAAAATTAGTTAAAAATTAGTATCACTTGATTATGTCTATTCTAAGTTTTATTAATAAAAAGATACTAAGTAAATCAATGTAATTAAAAGTCAAAAAAATATTGTTTTTATTGCTTTTTAATAGAAAAAGTTTTAAAAAAATAATAATAATACCTACATAACAACTAATGAATATATTTTAAAAAACTTTACTTTATCTTTACTTTATCCTTTACTTTAAGGTTAAGACCAATAAGCAAGAATCTAAGCAGAATTCTTGAAAAATATTTTTTTCTGGATACTCATAACAATATATCTATAATTTGATTAAAACAATTTTATTTATTACCTTTGGGTTAAGGTTTTGATAATATTCGTTTTTTAAATGTGAAAGTACAAACCAGATTACGCTGTTTTTTATTAGTTTAATAATAAATAATTTTAATTTAATATTAAAGCTAACTATATAAAATGGATTCTACTGAATGCAGATTTGCTATTGTTATATTTTTTGTAAGACGAAGACAACACATATATCGTAAATCGTGCTCTTAATACTAATTATTTGTTCCAATTCGTGATTATGACTACTTCTATTTACATAATGAACACTCCTCTTTTTTTAATAATCCTACAATATGTGATTGAATTTTTATCACGTAGATAATGGTAATTAATTACTTCAATGTAACCAAAAGTTCACAATTGTTTTTCATAAGACGTCATTATTTTATTTTTTATATAGTAAATTGAATAGACCTCATTACGATGCATTGTTTAATTCATAGAACTTGAGTCATAGCCTCTTTACATCGTTCTGTTAATCAGACGATATACTATATATTAAAATTATTAATAATCATACTAAAGAATACCAGAACCTGAGATTAGATGTTCTAGATACGAGGTTAATGAAATAATCTAATACACACCAAATACCAATTTACATTTATACATGTTAATTGATTTATCGATAATATTTTTTAGATACCTAAACAGAAATTTTATTTCAAAGATACAAAACCGTGTTTAGTATTTAAATATATGAACAAAAAGTATTTTTTAAATTATAACACTATGCCAATGAAAAACATTTAGAAAGAAACAAGTTTTTGGTTAAACGATTACATAACAAAGGAAAATTTTAGATTTTCTACGATTTACAGGATTTACAAATACCACACGTGTAAACTGGTATTAATAGTGCTTAGTGTTAGTAAAACCGCGAGTGTGAATGAATAGACGCCTTTAATAAAGGTAAACTTGCGACAAATAGCTACACCCTCCACGACTCTACTCTACTCGTGGTTGCACTCGTAACGTGTTAACGTATGGTATGGTAACCTATGGTATGAATAGTGCTATACCTGTTTACACGTGTGGTATTAGTGCGAGTGACAAGTACTAAGCATTTGGTAAGCTCGGCATAAAGTAGTACCGGCCGGAGTGAATTGGAACGGTAATCGGTCAAAATATCCAATGACAAAATATCCAAATTTATCCGTTTTTTCTAAAAATTAGTATCAAATTATTTAATTGACTTGTTAGTAGCAATAATATCACAGTTACTATTGTTTATGACTGTTTGGGTATTGTTAAATTGAGATATAATTCCGTTTTGACTTCCGGTTTTTACTGTTGGGTTTGATAAATTGCCCAGTAGCAGTAAATTGAACGAATATTTAAACGATAATAAGTCGCAAACGGATTACTGAAATTAAATTCTGTAAACGTTAAAATTATTTTTTTCAGTATGTTTATAAATTTTTGTTGTCGAAAATAGGTATTGCCATTTGAAAATCGAATGTTGATAGTGTTTTATCAAATAAGGGAGGAAGTTAAAATTATCAAAATTGTAACACAGTGTAAAATAATAAAACCCAAAAAGTTTAAAAAAATATTATTTTAAAATTCCTAATACTTCCCGAGATATTAACTGGTTTACGATAAAAAAATCACCCTGTATTTTTTGATATTATAACGATTAACGTAATTTATTATACTTTTAATAATATACGTAATATTTAAGCTAATATTTTCAAAAAATGTAGGTTTTTTATGATTAAATAATTTGATATTTGAGCTAGTTGTATTAGAAAATAATGTACTAATTTTCGGAAAAACGAATAAATTTGGATATTTTGTCCATGGATATTTTGGTTTGGATATTTTGTCCGTGGATATTTTGTCCTTGAATATTTTGACCTAGATTCATTGGAACATTCCGAGAAAAATGTCGGACCCACTGCTGAATTTTATAAGAGGAGGGCATTGAGTTTTAATTATTTACAGCCTACGCAGAAAAAAAAATTTTTTAAATGCACACATGATAAAAAGTTAAAAGTAATTATTAAATGTTATTTAATATTTTAATATGTAAGAATTGCATTTACCAAACAATATATTTCTTCTAAATGCCGTCACGAACCTAATCCACCAGTGGCCGGACCCGTTTGATTTTTCAATTTTGTTTTCAATCGCTGTAGAAATAGATACCTATGGGCAAATGTAAACTGGGCTCGCGATTAACTATTTTTTGTTGTAAATTCGGCCCCGAAAATTTTAGATAATAAAGTAGGTAGATTGTAAACTCGGCTCGGAAATTTCAGGTAATAAAAAAGGTCGGTTGTAATCTCGGCCCGATAATATTTATAGGTGAAATAAAATGGCGATGTATAAACCGCAAATGTACAGCTTTTTTAAAACTGTTTGGAATAAATAATGATATTACGGAGAAAAATGATGATCATCTACATGAACCTATCAGGGACCAAGTACTACAACGACAATGTGTTACCACCGTGGCCAAACGCAAAGGAACTGAGGATATCTGCAGTAGGCCAAACAAAATTTTTTGTAGTGCAGTAAACAATATACTTGACGCGCAAGATCTAAAAGTAAGTGATATTCGGTATGTTAAAAGGAATATATACAAGGCATCCTCGTGGTGTCCTCTGGGTAATGCTAAATGGTTCTCAAAAATATATCAAGAAAATTATATGTACGTTTTTATCCGGGCCGAGTTTAAACCTAAATTATTTTTACCTGCAAAAACCCCGGGCCGAGTTTACACCTAAATTATTTTTATCTAAAAAAAAATACGGTCCCAGTTAACAATCACCCGTACCTATGCAGAAGTCTCGAAATACGTGTTCCGCTACAGGAAACGCTAGGGAATTTTGTTATTGAAAACCCATAGAGCAAGCAATAAATTCGCAAAACAAATAAGAAGAAATAGAAAGATTTATATTTTTCTCGGCTGCGGTCTCTGGCACAGCGCCCTGATTTTATAAATAAAACTCGAACATTCACAGGAAGATTTTGTTTCACGGCGACGTAACGACATCTAGTTTTTTTCCATCGAAGTGAGATAAAAAATATTAATATATATACATTAATATTATATTTAAATGTATAATATACATTGTTAAAATATAACAAATTTCAATTTCTTCGATAGAAATAAAAAAAGGATATAAAATCATTGGGTGTGACAGTTAATTTTGTATACAGTAAGAATGGAAAGCCCATTTTTTCGTCTCCAAACAAACATTACATAAGACTATAAACTAAAATATACATTTACGTGGGATAAGCGTGGTTTACACGACGTTAGTTCACTATTTGCTAGTATAAACGTATGATCTAATTGAATATGCTAGTAAACTATTTAGATAGCAAATTAGTTTACGAGTAATGTAGAAATATTTAAACTTTTTGACAAATTTGGGTACTATTTTATCAGTTGCGAGTAAAAATAGAATCATGTAAGCAGACAACTAATTATTTATTCTAAACTAGTAACTTGTATTTCCCCTATAGATAATATGCTAGTAAAAAAAGTGACAATTTTTTTTTTGTTTTTTTTTAGCATTGTATATATGAAATAACTATTTTACTATGCGCTAGTGCAGTGCTTCCTAAACTTTTTTGACTCACGGCGCCTTTTTTAATCCAAGATTTTTTCGAGGCGCCCTTCCACAAGTCATAGCATAACTAATCATAAAGAAAATTTTAGACCAGATAGTATTTCATGACAGCATGGCATCGCCCTTGTTCAGACATCACAGCGCACACTTTGGGAACCGCTGCGCTAGTAAAACAGTTGCCTAGTATAATGTAAAACATAGTAAAACATTTTTTACTAGTTGCTAGTAAACTAACATCGTGTAAACTGTGCTTTAGCAAAATGTGGATCATCATTAATTGTGAAGTTGAAACTTTTCTATTGAAATAATTTGATATGGATCCAATTTTTATACTTTCCAATAGAATTTGAATTCATGATTAACATTAAAAGGCACAAAATGTTTCACATATAAAAATGCTGTATGCGTAGCCGTTGACACTAAATACGT